GAGTGTTATTAAAGGAAAAACAAAACTACTAAAATGAAGAATAAATATCAGTATTCCGAATATAAAACTTTAACTTATAAAGCGATTTTAACCATGATCTCCACAACAAACATAAAGATGGTAAGAACATTTACTTTAGTTAGGTAAAAACATAAATTACTTATCAAAAACCGAGAGTAAAAAATTATGTGGTAACACCTATAAATAAAGATGGGTGATATATGCGCACATAAGATAATTACATCATCGTAATGAACAAAATCATAATCTTTGAAAAAATGCTTTTCATTCACTGTGCCCCTCAATCCACTGTACCCCGACTTCCCCTATTCATAGTTATCTTTCCTATTGTAATCTTGCATGGGGAAGTACCAATTATGGGAAGCTCAAAAAAATTTATAGCAAACAAAAACATTCATGCAGGATTATATTTGGCGTTAACAGAACTGTAAATGATGAATCTCTTTTAAAGAAACTTAATGTGCTTAATGTTTATAAACTTAATATATACCAAGTTATGCTTTTTACGTTTAAATCAAAACATGCGTTATCTCCTAATATATTTCACTCTTACTTTGCAGAAATATCTCATTAATACCCATCTGATAATTTTGTTATTCCAAGATCTTATTTAAAACTCAATTCATTTCAAATTCAATACCTTGGACCATTTATATGGAAAAGTTTTTTAAAAAACATTATTAAAGATAAAATTCTTCTATGAACAATTTTAAGAACATCTCCTTAGAACAATTCAAAAGAGAATCTAAACGTTTTCTATTAGAAAAAAACTTCAATATTTCTTTTAATATTTCTTTTAAAAGTTCCTAAAATAATTAAACCTGAAAAAATCATCACTACTCATTTATTGTTGCCTTGCTGTGTATCTTATTTATTTCTCATTGAAATAAAATATATATACTATTAATTTTAAACAAACAAACAAAACAAAAAAACAAAAAAAATTTTTTATGATTTATTACTTGTGTTTTATATGTGTAGAACTAATATTGTATTTTATTTTTAACTTTATAATTTTTAACTTGTAACTTTGTGACGTCAATGTAAACGGGGCTTGGCGATAAGATAATTGTTTTCTTCTTGCTCTGGCTATTTTTTATATATGTATAATCTTCCTCGTTGTCAGTGCCGGCCTTTTTTTTTTTTTTTTTTTTTTTATTTGCATTCACTCCCAACAAGGCTGCAAGCAACCACTATTAAGTTGGGAGTTACTAGGAAAAAAAAGAACAGAGTTATAGAGCAAGGAAACGGTTGACAGAAGACTTGAAAAGTTGAAGGTTGTAGGAGTCAGGAAAACATGAAGATGGGAGAGAGTTCCAAAGGATTGAAGTGCGGGGAAAAAAACTAGATGAATAAAAGTTTTTAGAGCATGCTGGGACAGATACAGTAAATGAATGAGACTTAGCTGAATGACGAGCAAAACGAGAATGAATTTTAGTTGATGGAACTAGAGATGATAACTCCTTTGAGCAGTGACCATGATAGTATCTGTAGAAAAGAGAAAGAGATGCAACTTTACGACGATGGGAAAGAGGTTCAAGCTTAGCAGATAGTCCAGGTCCAACAACATTTACAATGCATTTTTGGACCTTGTCAAGAAGAGAAAGTGAATCGTTAGAAGAACCAGCCCAAATATGACAACAGTATTCCATACAGGGACGAATAAGAGATTTGTAGAGGTAGAGAATGGAATCAGAAGTAAGGAAATGGCGAGCACGATAAAGAGAAGCAACCTTAGCAGAAGCTAATTTAGCAATCGATTGTATATATGGTTTCCATGAAAGGTCAGTAGTAAGCGATAATCCAAGAAGACGTAAAGAGGACGACTCAGTAAGAGGATTGCCATTCATTAATATAGGAATGTTGACCATACTACGGTAGTTGTTTGCAGTAAGCAATTGGGTTTTTTTAGAGTTGAAATTCACAAGCCACTGTGAACCCCAATCTATTACTGAAGTGAGATCAGATTCAAGATCAGCTGCTTGTTCTAGGCGATCGAAAAGAGAAGACTTTTTGTCAAGACAGGAGTATAAAGTTGAGTCATCAGCAAAAAGAACTACTTTAGATGAAAGGTTGTCAGGAAGATCGTTTATGTAGATAAGAAACAAAACAGGGCCCAGGATGGAACCTTGGGGAACCCCAGAAGTTACTGGAAATAAAGAAGAGTGTTGGCCTTCAAGGATGACTTTAATAAACCGGTCAGAAAGAAATGATTTGATAATCTCAAAAACTTTCCCAGAAACACCATATGAAGCAAGCTTATGGAGAAGACCAGCATGCCAAACTTTGTCGAAAGCTTTAGATATGTCGAGAGCAATAGCCCTAGCCTCACCGCCTCCATCTAATGCACGATAAAATCTTTCAGTTACAGCAGCAAGTCGGCCGTAGAGGGAGAGGATCGGCCTTAGGTAGGTGGTGAGGTTGGGCGCCGCCTAAGGGCGCCAGGAAACTGGGGCGCCAAACGTTGTATGCAAACTTTAACAATATAATAAATAGAAAAAATAAGTCAAGGGATCGTCCATAAATTACGTAACGCAAAGTTTCACAAAAAACAAAACAAAAAAAGATCAAAAGTTTTCCCTCACACAGTCTTAATTTAAATAAACAACGAAAATAGGAAATTAAGTCAAATAAAAATCGTCGCGTAAAAGAGCCTAATATCTCCTACTCCTGTTCTTAAAATATTTTTTGCGTTGCGTAATTTATGGACGATCCCCAACCTAAATTTTTTCGATTTCGATTTTCGATTTTTTGTTATTTTTTCGAATGTTTGTTTTTTTTATAAAAATAATTTCCTTAAATAATTTATTTATTGTATTATTACACTGTTAAAAATTGTTTATGCAAAATTAATAATTTGATTAAAAGTGTTTCAATCATAGCATATATTTTGTTACTTAAAATCATTTTTTTAATTGAATCTTTCTCGGCGCCAATTATTTTGCGTTCCATTTATTTAAAGTTTAAATTTTAAACATTATTTTCTGTACGAGTTGCGAGCGCGTCGTTTATTAATTTGTAGAAGAAATTTAAAGTTGTATTTGTGATTCAAATTCAGTTTTTGTCAAGTTTTCAAATTTTGCGGTAATAAAAAGCAGGTAAGTATAAATAATGAAATTGTTTATGAATTATTAGCTTGCGAGTAATTTTTTATTTTAAAATTTTAGACAAATAGAAACTGTCAGCAGCAATCAATGGAGAGTACTCATAATAAAGAAAAAAATGTTTTTAAGACTCATAATAATAAGAAACCATCTGGTGCTCAATACAGAAAACGTAAAGCAGAAAAAGTTGATAATTTGAAGAAAAATTATAAAAAACTTGAAAATTTTTTTACATCGGAAAATAGTGATTGTAATAAAATAAAGGAAGGAGAAAATGTTGCGCATTTACTTAGTGATACATCAACCAGCGATGAAGAAGACGGAATAGTGTCAGTTGGAAATGTTCAACTGACACTATACGATGAAAAAGATATCGATAACGAAAATGATGATGGCCAAGATGGTGATGTAAATGATCGCACCAAAGAAACAGCAATCGATTACTCAGACTGTGGTTTGTGGCCAATTCACCGCAACATTCAATTTGTTGATTATGTAATTAATATAGGTGCAATACAAGTGAATTTGGACACATATCCACGCGATAATAGAAGACGACATTTTTCAAATGCTTATTACAACCGAAAACTTTCAAATGGTGAGGTTATTTCACGACGTTGGCTTGTGTACTCAGTTTCTAAAGATGCGGTATTTTGTTTTGCTGCAAACTTTTTGATTTTAACATGAATTTAAAGTTAAACGGAAATGGATTCAAAAAATGGAAGAATTTAACAGAAGCATTAAAAATTCACGAAAATAGTAAGTCACACAGAATTGCTTATCAACTATGGATTGACACAGAAATACGAATGAAAGCTGGTGAAACTATTGATAAACAAGAACAAAAACTAATCGAAAAGGACAGTTTAAGGTGGCGAAGTGTTCTTGAACGATTGATGAACATTACTTTATACTTGGCAACAAATAATATGGCCTTCAGAGGTTCTTGTGATAAATTGTATGCAGTTAATAACGGCAAATTTTAGGATTGGTACAATTACTCGCTAAATTTGATCCTATCATGTTAAACCACGTCACGCTAGCTTTTAAAGGAGATATTTCTGATCATTACTGTGGAAAAACCATTCAAAATGAAATGATAGATATAATGGCATCAAAAGTAACCAACATAATTATATCCAAAGCTCTAAAAAGTACATATTATTCTATTATTGCTGACTGCACTCCTGACGTATCTCACAAAGAACAACTCTCGCTTACGATTAGAATTGTAAATATATCAGAATATCCTATAAAAATAAATGAACACTTTCTAGGGTTTTTCAATGTTAACGACACGACAGGTCTTGGTTTAACAGAAATCATAATTGGAGCTTTAAAAGATTTTGGACTGAATATAAGCTTTTGTCGAGGGCAAGGTTACGATAACGGTTCAAATATGAAAGGTAAAAAAATAGGTCTACAAAAGCGAATATTAGATTTGAATCCTTTGGCTTTTTACCTTCCATGTGGAAGTCATTCTCTCAATTTGGATATTTGTGACGCAGGGCAGTCTTCACTAAATTCCATTAACGTTTTTGGCATAGTACAAAAATTATTCACATTATTTTCTGCATCAACTTCACGCTGGAATGTTTTACTTAGTCATACAACAAACTTCACTCTTAAACGATTATGCGAGACTCGTTGGGAAGCCAAAATTGAGAGTCTCAAAGCCATCCGATACCAAATAAGCAGCGTACATGATGCTTTAATTACTATATATGAAACTGAAACCAAAACTCCCGATATTGCACACGAAGTGCAAACATTAGCAGAACAATTAAAGACTATAGTTTTTTAGTTTCTTTAATTGCATGGTACAATGTACTATTCCAAATAAACGTTGTTAGTAAAGCAATGCAAGCCAAAGACATGGGTCTAATACAGTGCGCTAAAATGTTGAAAAAAGGCATCACATTTTTGGAAAATTACAGAACGTTTGGCTTTAAACAAGCAACGGTTGATGCCAAAGAGTTAGCTGAAGAGTTGAACATCGATGCAATATTTAAGCCGCTTAAAAGAGTGCGACGAGTAAAACATCATTATGATGAAAATGCTTTTGACGAACCAATTCAAAATCCCGAGAAGAAACTTGAAGTGACATTTTTTAACCCTTTATTAGATACATGTCTGTCGTCATTAAATGAAAGATTTGAACAACTTAATGAATATGTAAATATATGGAGTTTTTTATTTAATTTGGATAATTTGCCCATCAAGAACGAACTTTTAAAATTGTGTAAACAATTACAAGAAAAATTAACTGTAAATACAAAATCAGAAATCGATGGTGCTTTGCTATGCGACGAACTACGAAAGTGTGCGGTTTTTTATAAAAGATAAAATAAGCAATGTTGAAAATGAAATAAATACAAAAGAGATGACACCACTTTTTGCACTGAATCTTATTAAAAAACATTGTCTACAAGAGTTATATTCAAATACATGGATTGTTCTGCGCATTCTTCTTACAATACCTGTTACTGTTGCTAGTGGAGAACGTAGTTTTTCTAAACTGAAGTTAATCAAAACATATTTAAGAAATACCATGTTGCAAGATCGACTTAATTTTCTATCTATGTTATCAATCGAGCAAGATTTAGATTTTTCTAGTTTGAGAAGAGTTTTCGCGGACAAAAAATCAAGAAAAGTTAGATTTTAAAATTTAATAACTCTTGTTTATATAGTTCGAGAATTTATTATATGTTTAATAAAAACATTTGTTATTTTTAAAGCAGCGTTGCGTTGTCTATTTATTTAGTCACTCATTTCTATAAACCCATATCATAAAAAGTCTAAGTTTATAATTTTAATAAAAAATTAATTAAATAAGAAACTTGATGCACAATATGGATCTCTTTGCATTAAACTATATATTCCCTTTAGCACTCATGTTCATCATTTTAGAGCATTGGTCTCGTTGTTAATGGTAACAACTTACCCATATATACCTAGGGGCGCGTTCACAAGTTTTGCCCAACCTGTCAAAAAAGCTATGGCCGGCGCTGCTCATTGTAAATTTTATTATACGGCGAAAAAAAAGATAATAATTGGAAAAAAAAAAAAAATGAAACTGGTTTTTTAAATGTTATGAATCATAATGCCTCATTAAATTATATTCTTTGCACTCTAAAACAGATTCATTACATACTAAACATGCTGGCGCCGAAATAAATTTACCAAAATAGTATTCATTTGCGAAACATATATATATATATATATATATATATATATATATATATATATATATATATATATATATATATATATATATATATATATATATATATATATATATATATATATATATATATATATATATTATAAAAGGTTTACCTGCCGATAGCCATAGTAAATTAATTAGGCCCCCGGTTATTTCTAAAATTTAAGGTACTAAGATTGCATTTATAAGTTATGCTTTAAAAATTTATAGCGTTAATTCGACGTTATTTTTTTTGGGATAAACTTAACTTTCTAAAAATAAAAATTTTCCGAAATAAATTAAACTTTTTGATAAATTTCATTTTCGAAATTAATTTAGCTAATCAAATATCTTTTGGTTTTTTTTCGAAATTAAATGCACACTTCGAAAACCTTTTTTTTCTTTCGAAATGAATTTGACTTTTCAAAATATACATTTTTTTTTCGAAGTTAATTTGACTTTTCGAAACTCTTTTCTTTTTCTTTCGAAATTAATTTCACTTTTCGAAATTCTTTTTTTCCTTTTAAAATTATTTTCCTATTTCGAAATCCATCTTTTTATTTCGAAATTAATTTCACATTTCTAAATTACTTTTTTTTCGAAATTAATATGGCTAGTTCGATTTTTTTCGAAAGTTTTTTTAGATTTCGAAAAAAAGAGGTATTTCGATAACGTTTTAATCGAAAATTTTCGAAAATTGCAATTTCGATAATGAACTAAATATATTTAGTTCTCCATATTCCTTAATAATTCGTATTGCATTTTTTCTGAATATTAAAAAAAATTCCTGAATATTAAAAAAAGATATTATTATAAATATTAAATTTAGTCTATCACTACGTAATGTTTTCTTTTTTTCTGAAATAATTGAACTGATCGACCCTATCAAATGCTTTTGATAAATTAATAACTAATTTAAGTGCGAAGTTGTTATTATCAAAGCCATTACCCAGTGGGAAATGAACTAGCATTGTCGCTACTTGGGTAAAAGAAGCGTTTAAGACGTATAAATATACGTAATAATACGGTTTTTAGATATTTTTAACACGTCTTTTATCATCTGGACTTTTTTTCCCCATTGGATAGCGATTTGGTTTATTATAACAATTATTTCATCTTCAAGTGAATGATTTTTCAAAAATCTAACTGATTTTTGTAAAAAATAATTGTTTATAGTAAAATGGTTCCCATCGAGTTCAAAGACGTTTATTAGAAATCTATGATAAGTTGAGACATCTAAAAGACGTCTTATAGACGATCAAATATTAAATGTATCAGATATCTCTTAGATACAGATGATTCGTCTGATTCATACGCGAATTTTTGAAACATACGAGAAAAAAATGAGACATCTAGTAGACACTTTGAAGATGGTTACATTTTTAAATGTCTTTTTTCAGAACGAGACATGAAATAAAAATAAACGAGACATGAAATAAATATCTAAATGACATCTAAATGAAGCTATAAAGTTGATCAGCTATTAGATGTTTTTATTTAGACATCTGATAAACGTCAGTTAAGACGTCTGATTTTCTATACATTATATATATATATATATATATATATATATATATATATATATATATATATATATATATATATATATATATACATATATATATATATATATATATATATATATATATATACAGTGTCGTAAGGAGGCAGGGCTATAGCCCCGGGACCCGCAAATTTAGGTTCCCCCAAAAATGTTAGAGGACCTTTTTTTTTTAGTCATTTTTAGACTCTGGCCCATAAAAAGGCCTCCCAAAACAAAAATAGCCCCGGGCCCAAAGAAATCTTAATCCGCCACTGTATATATATATATATATATATATATATATATATATATATATATATATATATATATATATATATATATGTGTGTGTGTATATATATATGTATGTATATATGTATATATGTATGTATATCTCTCTCTCTCTCTCTATATATATATATATATATATATATATATATATATATATATATATATATATATATATATATATATATTTAACTTAGAGTTTCATTAAAAAAAAAAAAGTTTTTAAAAGTATGAAGTGCAGATTTATTATCTCATCAGAAATTCAAGATCTCGCATTTAAATAATCGATCATAACTAAATTATTCAATTGCTTACATCATCGCTGCTTAGCTTCTAACTTGATTAGTATGTCATTTGTAATGCAGTCTGGTTTCGTTTCATTAATTGATTTGAATATTTAAGAAAAATGATGGTGCAAAATTATAACTCAATTTGATCAACAAAATTTAATGATGCGTTTATCTTAGTTTGAACTTATTGTTAATACTTTGAATTAATACGTAATTAATACGTAATTTTTTTTATTGCTGCAGTTCTGAATAACCTCAACTATTCAATTTGGCAAACATTCCAAACGTTTCCAGAGATTAGCAAGAGATATGTTCTTCCAAACATCTAAAATTGCCTTTTTCAATTCATCGACATTTTAATATTGTTTCCCTTCTTCATAAACACATCTTGCTAAAATGCCCTATATGTTTTTGATAGGAATTAAATTGAAAATGCTGGCCATTCCAATAATTGAAGTTTTTTTTGCTGGTGAACCATGGAATATTTGACTTTACTCATGCACTCCATGGCTTATTGAAGAGAAATGCGTTTGTGCGCTTTAGTTAGTGTTAAAAATATGCTTTATTTTACATATCTGATAATGCCTGATCTGTTAATTCCACGATTTACCTCTATTTTAAGTATTTCAATCCCAAATCAGCGCCAATTTGTCTTGCGGAAACTGTGCGGTAACATTTACAATTTGTCGCAGTTGACGAGCTGTAAGTATCAGTCTTCTAATTATTTGATTGACCTAATTGATTTAATTTTACTTTTTTCTTCTGAAGAAACTGAAGAAATTTCCTGTGTTGAGAGCTTTGTTGAAGAATTTCTATGAAAAAACTCAAGAAATTTCTAGCGCTTTATTCAAGATTACAGTTGCAAGAAAAAAATTAGTTATTGACTATTTAAAATTTGACATTAAAATTCTATCCAAAGTAGTACAAGGTGTACTTTCTATTATATATAGCAACTTTCTGTTGTAGCAACTTTTACTACGGCTCTTATGCTAAGAACCGCTATTTTGCGGTGCATCGTACAAAGTAGATATTTTTCGAGCTTGGTAATATTGCTACACCCCATAAAAGTTATTTGGATCCAGAAAATGTGGTTTTATTGCTCTACACCCATTGTAACTTGTGGCAAAATGAAAATTCTTCAACCTTGAATCAGGTTAATTTAAGATTTTCCAAAATAAATCTAATAAAGGTTTCTGATCCCAAACAGTGTCTAATTTTTTAAAATACAATACATAAACAAAATAGATTTTTATATTTTCGTAAAAATACAGCACAAACCAAAGTTTATAAATTTTGGATTTTATAAATTTTGAAACATGAAAATAATTAATGCTAATGTAATTTTAACACACTTCATATAAAACCTAAGATACAAAACTGCATTAAAGTTTAAAAATAACCATTTAAAATATTTTTATTTATTTAGGCGCTCCAAGAAGTTCTCATGGTTACAGAGCATCTTGAAATAGAATTTAACCAGGAAATTCACGCCTTCTTCCTTATCATTGTTGCATATGACAAGGCCGGCTTCAAACCATTGAACTCCAGTTCTGAGACCATAACTCAAACTACTACACCACGGCAGCTTCAAATACAATGAAATCAGTAAATTCGGTTAAGCTTCGATAAATATATAATAAATATCAAGTTTTGTTCACGAGACTAGTTGCTAGTTTCGTTACTTTCTGTTTCTTCTCGTAATCGTTATATTGCTTTACAGCAATTCCACATGCCTCGATATTTTGCTTTTATCGAGGAAATACAACTTTATAATATTTATGTGTATAAAAAATATTTTAAATTTATATTATTTTGGTTAAAAAATATATGTTCTTTAGGAAAATTTTTAGTTTATTTTTTACTTTATATTTTAAAGGTGATTGCACAATTAAGAACGTCACTGCGTGATAAATCGATGTCACGTTGTGACGCGCGTATTTTTAGCTATATCTGTAAAAATATAAAAAAAAAAATTATGAAAATTTTAGTTTTTATAATACAGATAGGCTTCTTCAATATTATAATAAAGTTTATTTTTTATTTTAAAAACCCAAATACCGCACACTTTTGTTTTCTCGATTGAAAACGCATTTAACGCGTGTGATGGAATTGTTGTTTAACGCAAAAGCTAGCCAAATCGAGACGACCGTAATACATTTTCGCGGCTCACTTTGATTTAAAAACCTCATTTTCAATTGCTTTTAAAATAAACAAATCAGATGTCTTTCATAATTTGTTTTGCTAGCCCAGGTGAAATGCTTGCATTTTTCTGTTGCTACACTAACGCAACCTTATACGATTTATTTGCCTGTTATACACATTTTTGTAATGCTCCATATCTTTATTTTAGTTATTATTTTTATTTGTAACGCTATAGAGGTCATTTTATCATGGTGATATAGGGCGCTTTGTCTCGACCTCTTTAGTAGTAGCTCATAAAAACTGGATGTGTACATAAATGTGATTTGATTTTATATGGTAACGCTAAACTCCTTTTAGTCAATGTGGTTAGAAAAAAAGTTTATTTTATTTTAATTTTTTTTTTTTTCTGAAAAAATTTTCTAATTTAAATTCAACATTAAAGTGATAAAGTGTGCAAAATATAAGATAGTGCTGACCTAAATCTGTAAAAATCTGTGTATATTTTGTTTTGGTTGATATGGATATTGGTTTATTTAAAAACCATTATCTTATAATTTTTGAGGCATAAAAATAAAGCACATTTTTTTCGTTTTTGCAACAGTAGTTTAAATTTTTTCTATGTTTTAATTATGTTTTAATTATGTTTTGTAGAAAATTAGTTTTTTTTGAGTCATAAATGACTGAGTGGTGTTGATTTATAAATTTGGCTCTCATTGAGTGTAATGAGTTTCTTAGATGAAAAACCACCTAGTGATAAAAGCAACGATGAAGATCTTCCAAGTTTACAATCTATTATCAAGGTATTTAGAAAGGTCTTTAAAGAGTTTCTTATTCCTTATCATTATATTTTTATAAATCCACAAGGTCAATTACATAACAGTTGAGGAGGTTACTCATTTTTATAACTTTATTATTTTTCAACCTCATAACAGAAACGTAAGTTTTTAAAACACAAACTTCAACTAACAAAACGACTGTGTGGAGAAACAAGTTAAAAAGTTGTTCTAAAAAAGTTGTTATATAAAAGTAATTATTAAATAACATATTTTAAAGGATCTCATAGAATTCTCATTGAACTTTATTGCTTTTTATAATTTTGTTTTTATTGAAAAAGTTAGACAAGACAATGTTTTTTTAATTCTTTTAGAGGCTAGAAGAAAATGAAATTAAAATTCCAACCAAAGAAACTCTTACCAACTCAGAAATACCTATTTCTATGCGCGATGTCACTAAAGTAATGTCTAATGATGTAGCTGATGCTGAAAAATTGATTGAAGAAAACAGGCTATTGTATGATGATTTACTTTGGAGTCAAAATCAGCTTTCTTTAATGAAGAGCGAAAAAAGCTCTTTAAACTCATCAAAGGTTTATTATGATATTTATATTTTGCAAGATTGCTTGATTGTTTGTCAAAAATATATAATTATTTTATATTAAATAAATTAATATATATTAAATTCATTAAATAAATCGTTTTTCAAAAACCGCATCATTTTTAATTTATAATCAAATTCTAAATAAATAGTAAATAGTCAATTTATTGGTAAATTTAATTTAAGTTCAGTAACGTGCTTAAATTACTATATATATATATATATATATATATATATATATATATATATATATATATATATATATATATATATATATATATATATATGCAACCCTGGGAATTAGAAAAAAATTAATAATTTGTTGACCTCAATCTTTTAGAGATCGGCAAATAAAATTTGATCCAAAGGTCTTACCAAAAAACATAGAAACCTCAAACACTTTATAAAATTGAAAATTCAAAGATGTTTATTTGTATTATAGCCTGTATATTAGTGATCAAATATTATCAGTATCTTCATCAGCAATTGTTAAAAATCCTTACTCAAAATAGCTTGAGTGAATTTTGACGACAAGAAAAAGTCATAGTTTTTTTTAGAAAATTCTTGATAGAGGTTATCGTTTTTTATTGTTCTTGATAGAGGTTATCGTTTTGTTTTATGAAGTGTTATTAAAAATTTTTACAAAATTGTTTTTTTAATCGAACAACAAGCATATAGCATACTGCATTTTTTTCTTCATATACATCTATGATAAGTGATATATAGACAAACTATTATTACAAAGTTTTATTTTTGCCCGAAGGTGAGTATTTCAGTGAGAGTTTCAAATTCAAGAGTTCTGATCTGCTTTCATCACTTCTAACCATTTGACTACCAAACAGAAAGCATTACATTGAATGTTTTTTCACAATTCTTTTTACATCTTCAAACTTTCTAAGATTGAAGATGTAAAAAGCAACACATTTTGTTATGAAATTTTTCCTGACAGTCATGTTTGTATTTGAGTACATCTTTGTATTTTTATCCTTCTTCCTGTCTGCACATATAAGTTTAAAAAAAAAATGCAACAATAAATTTGTTTTCCCTCCTGAATTTTCATTTTCTTAAATTACTTTTATTTTCAACTTAGCTCTGTCTAATTTTCACTTATCAATTAGAATGTTATTGGTATCAACTATTGATAACAATAATCTTATGTTTTATCAAGCAAACTATTTCCAAGAATGAAGGCTTGAAGAACCATCTCTGACCAACTCCATAGCATATCTTGAGAACTTTTAAATGCTGTAATCTGCTTGAGTTCTTATGATTGGTTGCCAGTCATGTTTTTTAAATAAAAAAACAAATTTTAGAAATTTTTTAAATTATGTTTGAAATTTATTTATTAAAAAAAAATGCAAATATATAAAATAAATTAGGAGTTTAAACTATTGCTTCCACATAACTTACAATAATGCTACACAAATAAAAATACCTGATGTTTTGTTATTTAATATATATAATCTGTGGAATGTGCTCTTTGTAGCTTGTTATCAATATATCTGTAATGAAAAATATTTTCTTTCATTTATTTAGTCTTGTTATTGTGTTTTGAAGTAGATGTATCTATTAAAGGTATTTTAAATAATCTCTAAGGTCCTTTTTTTAAATATAAGATCTTTATTTAATTGCTTTCCTAGGGCATATACAAATGTCTTCCATTGTGCATTTGTCTTTTTTGCACTAAATATAAACATTGTCACATGACACATAGTCCAATGAACAGCAATGAGCGGGTATGAAATAAAATAATTTATCAAGTTAAAACTCGAGACTTCATTTTGTATTTATCTTTGTGTGGTAATAATTTGTGTACTTGACAGTTGCAAATTGATTTTTAATTTTTGTTTCAATAGAATTATCATTTATTAAAGGCAATCAAGTATTGGCAAACAACCGTATAGATTTTAAGACACATGAGACACACATAACAATCGCCCAAAAGTTTGGCTTAAAGTTATAATAATCTTGCTTGTAATAAAATTGAATCAACTGTCTGTAGGTACTTAAATCTGTTTTAACTAAAAAATGAGAACAACCTCTGTAATTCTCTTCATTTTGGATTGCTTGAATTGATTTGCCGAATGGTCACACACGAGCAGTGAACGCCTGAGGGAAGAAATGAAGTACATTAGAATAAAGGAGAATTATTTATTAGACAAAGCATATTTTGACAGTTGTCAAGACAAAAATAAAGATTAATATATAGAGGAATATTTAAAAATAAATAAGACAGCCAGACAGCAGTGCAATAACATTTAGTTTGTCAAAACTTTAAACAAATCAAATGCATTTGTACAGCAGTTCAAAGTTAGTAGCAGTTTACATTTCTTATAAATCTTAACTTAAACACTAATGTAATTAAATAAAACATAACATTAACATATAAATAAAACATTAAAACATTGTTTTATTAAATAAAACATTGAAGTTTTGTTTGGTTTTAAAAAAATGTTGCAGGTGTAGCCAAGTACTTCTGTGCAATTGAGGCTAGTCTGCTGTGTGAGCCTGCATGTTTGGACTACCATTGAAATAAACAGGCTTTTGTACTGACAGTGCGCTCTGTTCTGTGTTAAAGCACACTTTCTCAATTGAGTTTTTCTTGTGTTCAGAATTAGACTCTGATGTAACAATCAATAGAGCAAAATTTCTCTTTGATGCCTTTGATGTTGTTGTTTCCACAGATTTTTCTGCAATAATTTTCTGTTCTTTGAGTAAGTTAATAACCGAGGCCCACATCTCACCTCTTTCAACTCTAGGTATACTTTTGAGGTCTATGAGTTTTGGGTCCAATTTGATTGCAATTTTCAGATATGCAATGTTAGTATATGTATTTTACCACATAGGCAGGGTCATCATTTGAGCTCACCAACTGAGAGAGATAGCAAAAAGCAGATAGAATCATAGAGTATGTATTATTTTTCTTGACCCAGAAGTTCAGTCACATACCTGCAAAAAATAAAACCCAATTTACTCAAATGTTGAGTAAATTGGGTTTTATTTTTTGCAGGTATGTGACTGAACATACCTGCAAAAAATAAAACCCAATTTTGCATTCATTTAAAAACACAAAAAATGTCCTCATATTCATGCTTACACCACATACGGACATATTAATTCTCTCTAACATGCACTCAGGCCAGTCAGTGAAAAATATATGATGTAAAGTAAACTTGTAGGACTTCAGTAGCATTTACAACTTCTGTTTGTCCATTTCAGCTAATGATGGCATAGCAACCTCTGTGCTGTGTGTGGTGAGAGCATTCCTCAGTGGCTGTTCATTTCTGTGGACACTTTTTATCATGTCCAGAGTGGAGTTCTATCTGGTTGAAATGTCTTTTATAAGCAGCTCCTTCTTTTGTCCAAGTTTAATTTGTTTATGTTCTAATTCTGGACTGTGTTAAAAATGGCCCACTACCTCTCTACCTTTGGCCAGGACATTGCATCAAACACGCTGTTGTGCAGAGATGCAATGACAGAACCCTGTGGAACTCAGCAGACATGTTTAAAAGGCAGATGTCTTGCAGCATCAATCATATTTATTGCACTATCTGTGCTAAATGTACTGATTTTATTTGAAATCTCTCACTGCTGTGCAACATGAATAAAATGTTTAGCACATTTTTTTAGCAAAATTTCTCTCTAGCACATTTTTTTAGCAAAATTTCTCTTCTCTCATTACAGTCAGAGATTGTGAATGCAGCTCTTATTGTTCAACAATGTAAAGAACTGTAACTTTGAGGTAATGGTTACTCAGAGATGTATAGTAGTCTCTGGTGAGGGCAACAATTAGTGCATGCTGTAACACCATCGTCTTTATATTCCTCTCCTTTTAATGCAGTTGATATTCCTCTCCTTTTAATGCAGTTTTTTTTTTGCAGAAGCTCATACATGCAGTCATTCATTATGATTCTAATAATATTCTCCAGACCAACATTTTCCATTTACTAATTGGCTTGCAGTTTGTAGCTATCCTCTTCTCAATGGTAATTATTAGATCTAAAGTTCTCCTAGATGCTGCACCCATTGAAATCTGCAGATAACCTGTTTGCTTGGGTGGGTGATTTGCTTGTATAAATGATGTAAATTTTTCTAATTCACTTGCAACAAAGCTGAAAGAAACCAGTATTAAGTTGGGAATAGAAAACAAAGAATAGAGCCAAAGAGCAAGGAAATGGTTGACAGAAGACAGAAAACAGAAAAGTTTTAGGTTGTAACAGTCAGAAAAACACAAAGCTAACATTATGATGTTAGGAGAAAGGCTTAAACTTGACAGATAAAAATAGTCCACATATGTTTACAATGCCTTTTTATGGACCTTTTCTAAAAGAGAAAGAGCATTAATAGAAGAACCAGCCAAAATATGTCAACAGTATTTCATACATAGGGAGTAATTGTAATAAAAATGCAAATAATATTAATATCATTAATATCAAGTGATATTAAATTAATTTTGATATCACTTGATTATCTAATTATATTTTTGCTGTTTGCAAAGTCGTAACTTGTAATTAAGTTAAATTAATAAAAGTAAATTGTTTGTTTTTCTTTTTTTTTTTTTTTTATTAAATTTTTTTACTTTGTATTCGTGAAATTTCATAAACATCGATAAACCTTGAAATGCGTATGGGTAATTAATTTTTATGAGTTAAAACTTAAAAAAAACTTTACAGGTTAATGTTGTTTTTTATGGTAAAAAAATACAGGGTTATCACAAAAAATTAATCAGGGTACTCTTTCAATTAAAGCAACTAATTGTAAAATTATTTACGATCTGAACTATAACTATTTATGACAACAATGTCATGAAAATGTATTTGTCTTTTATGTTAAATTTTAACACAAAAGAAAAATAAACTTTTTTGAATTTTTTCAATTTTGAGTTGAAAAGTTTTATTTTGTTTCTATTTATTAACTTTTTATTTTTTTTTATATGTAATTTTTTTTTAAATAAAGTGTTTAAATATGTATCTGTTCAAAAAATAGTTGCATATATAATATTAGTTTTAATTTAGTTAAAATAGCAAAAAATTATAATTTAATACATTAACATAATTATCATGATTTGAAAAGTAAAAATTCTTCAATTTATTTTTTACTTTATTTATTGTAGTTTATGTATGTAATAAATTATTAAAATTATATTAAAAAATATATAAAAATAAAGTTGTATGAGTTGTGTAAATGAATTATATGAATTAATTATTATGCATATAAATATGAGTAAATGAACACAGTTCATAAAGAATTATGAATCACAAGGATAAATATTTTTTTACTTATGTGATAAAAAGTTCCCTTGATTCATAATTCCTCATGAACTATGTTCATTTAGTAATCATTCTTTAAATGCTTTATAAATAATTCATATTTTTATAATAAGTCACAATGTTTCATGCTGATTTTTTGGCATATATTATTAAAACAATAATTTTTTGTTGATTATGTTATACTTATAGAAATTCTTTTAGAATTGGAGGTTTTAAAATTAGTTCTGCTAGTTTAGTTGTTTTATGGTTTTTCACATTGAAAATGTTTTTCTTTGAATAACATAAAGTTAAATAAAACTGCTTTGATAGTAAAATCCATATTGTTATAACTTTTTTTTTCAAGTATTGTTTTGTAATTAAATACAAAATTTTTTAAATTGTAAACAATTGCTGTTGTAGTTGCAACTGTTGTTGCGTGCAACTTTTGTTTGAGCACACTGTTTGAATTGCATTACTTTAAACAACTATAAAAAATGCTATATAGCTTATATTTGTAAAAAGCTTTACATTTTTTTATTATTATTTTTTTGCAAAAGAAAATATTCACTCTTTTGTTGTTAATTTGAGTACATAGTGTTTGAATTGAGTGTATATTAAAAATATGTTGTTTTTGATTAAGAAAGTTTGATTGTATATAAATTGAACCTCATTAATAAAAAATGTTTTTTAAAAAGTTTTGGTTTATTTTTTCTTAAATGTCAGTTAAATCCTTGTAATGTCAGTAACTATTTTTTATTGCTATTATTGTTATTATTTTATTATCATTATTATTTGTATATTTTTTTTATTATTGATAGCTATAATATATAATATTATATTTTTAATTGTATTGTTATTCTTGTTATTAGTTTTATAGATTTTAAATATTTTTATTATTTATTATTACACATTTGGCTTAAGTGAATTGATATTCAGTGTTTTATTTTTGTTTTTTTAGTTGCCTCTTTATAATGATTATATGAGAATGCAATCTCCAGTTAATTCTTCGTATAATAATGAAAATGTTAGGATACAGTCTCCTGTTAGTTCTTTCTTGTCTGTTGAAAATTATATTCTTCAAATTAACCAGCTGAAGCAAAAAATTGAGGATGACCACTCAAATTATAAGCGAAAGTTGCATGCATACCAAGAGGGACAAGAGAAGCAATCTGAGTTAATTCAAAAACTTCAAAGCAAAGTAAAGAAATAATCTTTTTAATAAAAGTTTTTAGTTATTTAAATTAGTTTTAATATTTTTTTATAAATTTTTGTCTTGTGTGTGCGGTTTTAAGTTAAAATTTTATGATACTCTAAAACTGTTTTTCTTAAGTATTAAAGTTTTGAGAAAATTCACAATATTTGTGGATAATACTTACTTTTTGTGGATGATACTCACTTTTTGTGGAGGATACTTACTTTTTGTGGGTGATACTTACTTTTTGTGGAGGATACTTACTTTTTGTGGATGATACTTACTTTTTGTGGAGGATACTTACTTTTTGTGGAGGATACTTGTTTTTTGTGGAGGATACTTACTTTTTGTGGAGGATACTTATTTTTTTTATTTTCTCTTTGAGTTGTTGTTACATTCTCAAACCTAATAATTCCAAATCACAAATCTTAGCAAACAAAGTTGCTACGCAAAGAAACAAGTTAAGGGTGGTACTGAAACCTGGTGGGTTTCAACATTGTACCTTCTGCTTATTATCAAGCGCTCTTCATTTACTATTTTGAAAAAATCATTCTATTAAAAGAGAGTATTTTTGTGTATTATTTTTTAGGTCAAAAATGATGTTAAAAAAATCTGTATGCAAAATTTTATTAAAAGTTAAGATTTTATTGAAAATAAATAATATGCATTGTCATTTCTTACTAAACTTGTTTAATTTGCAATCAAATTTTTTTGGATTTTATTTTTGTGGATAGAATTTAAAGATTAATCCTTTCTCTTTAAGTACTTTATGGACAAAACTTGCTTTATAGCCTAATCTTTATTATCTTGCAACATTATCTTGCAACATTATCTTAACATTATCACATAGAGTGAAGGATGCAGTATTTTGCAACATAGAGTGATGAAAGCAGTATCTTGCAACATAAAGTGAAGGAAGCAGTATCTTGCAACATAGAGTGATGGAAGCAGTATCTTGCAACATAGAGTGATAGAAGCAGTATCTTGCAACATAGTGAATGAAGCAGTAAAAATTTCCTTGTATGCCTTGAATTCTTTTTTGTTTTGTCTGCCTAATTTTTCACCAGCTTTATCTTATATGAAAATCTTGGAGTATTTTTATAAAAACCAAAACTTTTGTGCAAATTATAAGTATTATTCAGGAAAGTTATAAATATACAGAAATTGTAAATATTATACAGGACAGTAAACCTGAACAATGTTCTTTTTAATTGTGTATAAGTCATTTTGTTAGTTTTTTCTTATTTATTTAGTCTGCCAGGTTGTTTTTTTTGATTGATTCTGCCAGGTTTTTTTTTTGATTGATTCTTGCATATTTGTTAGATTCCAATTGGTCTTTGCATAGCTATCTTATCTTTATATACTTAAGTTCAAAAAAGATAAATTTAAATATTTACAAAGCAAATAGTAAAAATATATTAGATAATAATGTTACCTGTTTGCCTTCTTAACAGACACATACAATTTATTTGTTAAAACAACCCTTACATCAAACATTTCTAAACGATTTTTAAAATTTCTAAAATTCCTAATTTTAAAATAGAATTTAAGGTTATTAAGGTAGCCATGCCAGTGTCATTTGTTTAGAGTTAAGTCAATTTGTTTGAATTATTTTTGTTTATTAAAAATATCTTTGTTTTTAATATTAAATTTTTTTTGCTTTTTAAAATATGTACAGTTAACATAAAGCCTGGCATCACAAAAGAATGCTTTTTTTTCAAACAACAAATGCTAATTTTATGTTTTAAAGTTTAAAATGTGTCACAATCTTTTTTTGAAATGATTTATATATTTTACAAATAAGGATGTACATTATTCAAAAATTTCTTTTTTTTTTTGTAATATGCCAAATGTGAAAAAGTAAACATGTAACCTATCATTACTAAAGTCAGAAAAGTTTACAAATTATTTAGATTACGAAAAGAAAATAATGTCCTTTAGGAAGTTATTATGAAATACCATGCAAAAGAGGTCAGAGTTAGGGTTACCATGCAAAAGAGGTTTCACTTGATTTTGACTGAAGGACAAGATGTAATAGTTTATTTGTGATGATTTTACAGTTTTAAGTCAAAGATTCATTAGAAATGTATTTAATGCCTGTATGCCTAAACGTGTATGCCTAATGCCATGCTGCATATTTAATTTTCAATGAAGACAAAATAAATACCACACATTACATTGTTGATGGTCTTAAACTATTCAAATTGTCTGTAGTTTTTGACAAAAACATTTGACTCTTCTAAAATATTCAAGTTTATAATGAACAAACTAAATAAGATATTTTGAAGAGAGAACTCGAAAAAACTTTGTAAACTTGTACAAATATCTTTCTAATCCTGAATGCTTTTCTGATAATGAATAGTTTCGTAATTTTATTTCAAAGAAAGTTATTATCTATGAAGTTACTAGAAAATAAAAATAAAAATTTTAAAACTTGATTTTTTTTTACCGCCTAATTTTAATTTTTTTACTGCTTTATTGATGAAATTAAAACCCAGTGAAGGCTCAAATATGTTAAATATATAGTAAATAAAAATAATATTGACTATAAAATAAACAAATCTGTTTATTAAAAGCAGTAGTAGTATAAATTTACTGCATCATATCTATTGTTACAATCTTATAATCTCAATTTCAAACATTTTTATTAAAGAGAATTTAAAATAACTTTGATATAAGTAAATGAACAATTATATAATATAAATATAATTTATAATGATTTAAAATTAAATTATGTTTTCAAGATGTATACATTCCTAACATAAGTTAAACCTAATAAGTTTTTTAACTATACAAAGTAAAACAAAAATGTTGACAAAAAGTATTTCTTAAACTGAACCTAAATATTTATATATTAAAAAATTTTTATATAATAATTAAATTCATAAAAAGGTTTATCTAGTTTTTTTTTTTTAAAAAAAAAAAAAGGCTTTAATTGAAATAATATTTAAATAGTTATGGGAAAATATATATAAAATATATCATAAAAAATAAGTATAACCTTTCTTTTTTTGGTTTAAAAATATGCATGATAAATTCCTTATGAAAATAATTTTTTATAAAGGTTCAACAGTACAAAATGCGAAACAATGAACTAGAGATGATTGCAAATGATAAATCAAATGAGTTAGAAGAATTGCGTGATAAGGTTAGTGTAACTTATTTTAATTTTGCTTAACAAAATATTATGTTGCCCTATGTTGTTTTGAATTTTTTTTTTTTAATAAAAGTAGAAAATGATGCTTAAGTGTTAGATATTAAGAAAACAACAAAGCTTATTTAGTCTAATCCTTTTTTTTTTTTTTCAACAGATATGTTAAGTGTGGTACTTCCAGGAACATGGATTTGAACTAAGCAAATTTATTTAAGCAAAATTTGTCAAAATTTACCTTTTTTAATGAATTCAAAACAATATAGTTTCTTGTTCATATAAAATGTTCTTGAAAAAATTGAGTTATTTTCAGCTTTCAACTTTTAAATCAAATTTTGGAGATGTATGCCTTATAATATACAAAAAATAAGTACATTAAATGTATAAAAAATTCAAATAAAAATTGATCAAAATAATACAATTTTTTTTTTTTTTTACATATCTGGGTTTGAATTGCACTAGTTCTAACTGTCGCATTTTTTTAGTTTCCTAAGCTTTTGGACCACCAGTGAAACATTCTTCATCTTCATTGTGACTATCGAATAAATATTAAGGCCAAAGTCTCTCTCTATGCTATCATTTGAAACATTCAAACTAAATCATTGATATTTTCATTCGGAAATTAATTCTAGTTTTAGTTTTTATTCAGTTTAGAAGCAAAGTTTTAAAGTCCTAATTTTTATTCAGTTTAGAGGCAACGTTTTTAGTTTTTATTCAGTTCATGTTAAAATAATTTTAGTTCTAGTTTTTATTTGGTTCAATTTTTGTTTGTCGCATAAATTTTTCATCTCATCTAATTTTAATGTAATATAATTTATAAACAATACAAGAATATATAATTAAAAGAATTAGGAAAACTTAATTAAATGTAACATTATACACCCAGTGCCGTGGCTAAGGGTTTAGAGCCCTCTCCCCCCCTCCCTTCTCTATCCAAGAAAAGAAATAAAAAATTAGGATACAAATTAGGCAGAGCAGGTATTGGTTTTTCAGATTTGAAGTGAAAAAATTAATCCAAAATTCCTAAAATAGACGCAGTAAGATTTTAATAGTCCAGCCATGAAGCCATTTTGTGAAACGCATGCCCTCAAATGTGAGGTCACAAAGTTTTCTTCCTAAAACTATAAGTTTTTCATTAAGTAGGCTAGTAATTTTGGCAGAAGCAAGCATTAAAAATTTAGTATCCAAAATTAACAAATTTTCTAAAACTTGCATTATCCTCCAATGTCACTGGATTACATGTTTCAATTATCATTTGCATAAGGGAGTAGCCACAAAATAAGTAGCCTCCTTGTCTGTAGTGGCCTTCTCGGCCTTGAGGAGGTGAAGTAAAATAAAAAATAATAATAATAAAAAAAAGGGAAGATAGTTGAATTTTATCCTTGTTTGAATTAGTAGACCATGTGGTAATCCTACAATTAATGCATTGAAACAATGTCTGGTTCTGATTTAAGAGCGATTCTAGTAGAGTGGGCCCATCTTTATCCAATGCTCTTTAACCCTGTATGCTAAAATTTAAAGTTACCGTTTTTATTCAGTTGTTGTTTTTAAAATAAATTTGTTCTAGTTTTTGTTTGCATAAATAAAAGGCTTTTTTTTTCGTTTTTGTTCTAGTGCACAAAAATATCACTGATCTAAACACTTAGCTAGGCAAAGAGTTTTTATAAAAGACAATCCTTGACAAAACTAAATCTTTATAAAATGTATGACATTTAGGTGTTTTTTCAGCTATTGCTTTTGTATCACACTTAGAGAAATAGGCGTAGTTATTCATACTTTTCAATAATGCAACATCATTGTTATAACAACCTACCAATATCATACCATACTACCAACATCATTAACTTACCTCTTTTTAGTCAATCTTAGTTATTGAGCTTCAGCTTTGCAGGGTTTAAGAAATGTATTATTCACAAATAATAAAATAATAAAAGTAATGTTATAAAAAATTATATAAGTATTATTATTATAATTAGAAAGGGTAGACTGAGATTAAACTAGAGATTACAATCTTATGAATATGATTAGTAACAGGTTTATAGAAAAGTTTAAATTGACTGAATTGAATTTCATATAAAATGAAATGTATTCTTCTAGATGCAGCTAAACTATTTATCAAATTCCATAGTGTTTATTCAATCATCCATAGTGTTTATTCAATCATCCATAGTGTTTATTCAATCATCCAAACTGTTTATCTAATCATCTAAATAATTTATACAATTATTTTTAAAAATTTTATAATTTTAAAACAAATGTTCTGTTGCATAAATATTTATGCAAACTATATGTAATAAATAAACATTTCTAAGATTTGGAACAAGGTGCCCATTATCCCCACAACAGTGTAAACTCCCTGAGGGCTGTCATCAAAAAGAAGTGGAACAAGATGGCTAATGACTATATTCTGACTACCTGCTCCAAGTTCAGGAGTTGACTTAAATATTTAGCTTTAAGTTTTTATTCTACATTAGTTTTGGTCAAAAAATAATTCTTTTACGAAATTCCTGGTTGCATACAGTAGGTTTCTAACTCAAGTTTAAACCATAACTTAAGTTATGGTTTAAACTTGAGATATGAAGTTATGAAACTATAGGAATACAATTAAAAAAAGTTTTTAAAAAAGTATTTATTAAAAAAATTTAATTATATAAAAATATCAATTGTTTTGAATATTAATTTGAATATCAATTTTTTTTTTTTATTTGGCTTCTTTTGAGTTTGACGATAAGTCATATTCGATATATATATTTTATATTTTATTTTATTTATATATTCAATATATATTTTTTATATATTATTTTTATTTTATTTTATATATTTTTTTTATTTTCCACATTGAATATAGAAAAAGTTTTTTAACACAGTTAAAAGCAATTTATACATATGACATATATTGGGAAAACCTGTTTTTATAACTTTTGGACCCCGATAGTTTTTAAATTTGGGGTGGAAGACATGGTTCAAACCAAATTGTTCAATCCCAACTTTAAAAGTTTTTTCTATTTATATATATATATATATATATATATATATATATATATATATATATATATATATATATATATATATATATATATATATATATATATATTATATATATATATATATATATATATATATATATAGGCCTTGGCAGGAAGAGCTTTAGCTATCACGCACACTCTCCTAAAATGGTTTACGGGTTGTAGCAAAATTGTAGCAGCAATATGTGACAATTATGTAAATAATGTTGTAAATAAATAAATGAATAGCTAGTGTGAAAACTTAAAGACAATGTTCGTTTAAAGAATTTTTTAATGGTGCAATCAATGACACTTGTTATGTATATATTATTGTAACATTAATTTTACAACCTCATAACAAGTATAAAATCAAATTTAGTATTTAATCAGCAATTTTTATAATAAACAGATCGTGCAAAAACCAAAAGCTCTTGTAAGAAACTGTTTAGAGGAGCAGCTCACATGGCATGTCATATTTATTTTAGGAGAACCTTTCTTTGCTCTTGCACACACACATATGTCCAATCAAAACTTATTTGGATTGGACAATGTCTGATCAAATTTTTAAAATATAATTTTTACGGTATAATGGAATTGAGTTATGCAATCGAAATCTTTGTCATGTTTTTCAGTTTATTTAACCTTAGTCTAGTGAAGATGTAGTTTCTCTCCTTATTATTTAAAACATTTTATAGCATTATAGCATTTTTTTGGATTTTTTTTTAAATAAAACAGTTTCGATTTAATATTTTATGTTTTTTAAGACTTGAATTTTCTTTAACTGACAACGTTTATTTATTTTATTTTTTTTTACAACTTGACAATGGCTGTTTTGATGTTTTATTAGTTAAAATGCAATAAAAAAATCGTTATGTTACAAATAACTTTTAGTTGTTGATCTTTTTTAAAGTTTTTATTTTACAGGAATGCTTTAAATAAAATCAAAAATTTTTTGTTTAAAATAAACGCATTATGTGTAAATTAAATGTTATATTTAATTTTTTTTTAGTATGTGTGTATTTTTTATGATAAATTTAAACGTTTGAAACTATTGTTCCATGTCTTTCTAAAAATCTTTTAAAAGAATAGTTTTTTGAAGTTACTTTAAATTACGAATTTTTTTTTTTTTCTAATTTTACAAAGAATTGTTTATAAGTTTTTTTTTTAAACTTGACTTACTAATCAAAGCATGAAATGATTGAAAATTACTATTTTAAAAAACTACGTTATTTTTTTAAACAATTTTTTTGCAACTTTTTGAAAAAAATGTTTATACAACTTAAAATTATTATTATTACTTTTTTTCAATAATTTAATTGCATTTTTCAATAATTTAAATAAAATTTGCTCATTTATTAAACAATCAATAGAAGTAATTTCAAAAGCCTTTTGCGTAAATAAAGCGTTTAAAAAGTTTTAAAGTAATGAATTTCAAACGCAATTAAAAACATAACAAAAAGTAAAGTTTTTTAAATTTTGTTTTAAAGCTTTAATTTACTTTTAATTTTAATTTTGTTACCGAATTAGCATAGTGAGATGTTGCTAAATTGCGCCAAAACGGTAGACCAAGAGATCTATTTAAAAGAGTAAGCGGTAAACCAAGAGATCTATTTAAAAGAGTGTTTGTAAACACTCTTTTAAATAGATCTCTTGGTTTACCGCTTGGCCAGAAGGAACAATGTAAATAGATGTGACCCCTCGAGGGGAGATTGCCATCCATACAAGTAATTTTTTTTCAAATTTTGCAACATCATAATACTTAACAATGTCTGGTGTCAATTTTTAATCATTTGAATAGTATGTTTTATTAACAGCCAGTGTGCTATTTGACAAAGTAAAGTATGACGCATCATCAATAAAGCCATTGTTGCGATATTTTGAATAAAGTCTACCACTTTTTTTTGGCGATCCCAAGGCCTCTGTTCAGGAGTTCTGCTTGTTCTTTTTTTTCTTTTATAACAAAGAATAGGTTTTTTAAAGCATTTTAAGATTCGTCCGATGGTATTTTTGTTACAACCAAATCTTTTAGAAGCTTTTGAAAGTGACACACCTCTTCGATTGTTAAATATTTTCCTTAATTTGATGCGGTTGTTTTGTGTATTAAGAGTAGGCTTTCTTCAACATCCAGCTTTGCGACCCAATGGTTTATTTTGATCGTAACTGTTCATATATTTATAAATTGTAGCTTTTGAGTAGCCCTTCATCTTGAAATTGTACCAAACAACGTGTTTTCCATCTTCATGTTTTTTTTATAAAAATTATACAGACAACTTTTTAGGGCTTGTTGATTTGGCATTTTAAATTGTTATCTAAACAAAAAATTATCAGCAAATTTATATGCTAATTGAAAGAGGAAAGATAGAGCTTTCATTTGATACCAAATACTAATTATTTTATCAAGCTTACTAATTAAATCTTGCTGATTCAAGTTAGTCTCAAATTTTATGGAACATATATATATATATATATATATATATATATATATATATATATATATATATATATATATATATATATATATATATATATATATATATATATATATATATATACACATATATACATATATATAATAATAATAATAATAAAGTATTTATTTTGTAGAATTTAATTCCCCTTGGAAAAAAGTGTATGTTTACTTTGTAAATTGATCGGACAATCTGAGATTTTAGTTGGACAACGTCCGATGTCCAACCGTTAAATTGAGCCCTATATATATGTATATATATATATATATATATATATATATATATATATATATATATATATATATATATATATACACACACATATATATGATACACATATTTTTTTTAGCTTCAAGTTACTATAGCTAGTGCAAAGGAGTATGAGAAACGTCTGATGGAATTTGATGAAGACCGAAGTAATGAGATGGAGAACTATGCAGTGCAACTTGAAGAAGAAAAGCAACGGTTACTTATTCTATGATTACTTATCAAAGTTGTTAAATATTATGTTTGAAGTTAAATTAAATGTTAAATCTTTTATGTTATGTTTGAATATATGTTTATGAAATATATATATAATTTATGGAATTTAATTATTTTTAGAAATGTTAATCTGCAACATGCCAATAATATGTTACATGAGCAATTAGAACAAGCTACATCAGCAAACAGTCACCTCTCTTTAGAAACACAAAAACTTTCAATAGAGTTAACAAAATCATGTGATGAACTGAAGCATCGTGATTCTGAAGAAGAAAATTATTTTACTGAAGAACATAGGAAGCTGGTGAATCTGTGGAATTCAATTGACAGTTTTCGATCAGCATTTAACATAGTCAAATTAGAAACTCAAAAGTAAACCCAATTTGTTTAAATTTATAAATTTAATAAAAAATTTCATGGTAAATAACAATTTAGAGCATTTTTTTATTTTTCTATTTTAATGCTTTAGTAAATGTATTTTTTGTTTCAAAATTATCTTTTTTTAAATATTGTTACAAAATTAAAAATTATTTTATATTGTTTTAAACAAAATTTGTTTTTATTTAATTATATTTAACAAGTTTGTTTCAAAATTTTATTAATTTTTATTGCAAGATTTTTAAAAAAAAATTTGTTGAAAATTAATTCACAGGTCATTTACAAATTTCATTACATTTACAATTACAAGTTTTGTAATGCAATGGTTTTCATTTATACAAAAATTAGATATGTTAAGTTAAAATGTTCACAAAAATCACATTTGTATCATTTAATGCATCAAAGCTTTAATGCTTGTTAATATTTGTTTTGCTTGAAAAGTGTGTTACTTGAAACTTGTTTCACTTGAAACTTGTTGAGCGGTGTGGTAGCAATTACAGATCTCAAGTACAGAACTCTTTTAAGTCTTAGGTTAAATTATCAATTGTTTATTGAAATCACATTTTGTTTGTAGAGCTCAGAAAGTTCTCATAAATTTCTCAAACTTTTTCTTTTTTAAAAGAGAAGCATGAGTACCAATCTTTATAACTCTCTTCAATGAAAAACTCTTTTTTTCTCACAAGTTTTTGTTTCTGATACGCAGCAGATTTGTAAATACACTTTTTAAAGTCTGCCTTTATATTTGTCTGTAAAACACAACTAAGATGTCTAAAGCAGACATTTTGGCTTTAAGCTCTCATTTTTGGACAATATTGTATATGTATATGATATGTATATAAAATGTCATCATGCCCAAGTACCTTTGATGAAAGAATGACCAAGTGTTAAGATAAATGAAAACTGTTTCAGGATATTTTTTTTTAATGTTGTTTTTAAGCATATTTTTATTGCAAGTTTAATCTTTTAATGATTTAGCATGCTGTGATTTTAATGCTGGATTTAGCATGCTGCGATTTTTTACTTCTAATGTTAAAGTTTAGTTCAAAAACTGTATGATGGTGTAAAAATCTTTATTGGATTTAAGATTGACCAAATATGGCAACAATCGTTTTAATTATTGCCTGAGACCTTTTTCTGAGTTAAAATTAATTCTAATTATTTTAATTAAATTTACGTATTTTATTAAATTTTTATTACTAAACTAAAGAAGTTTTTCTTACTAAATTAATCGTAATGAGTAATAAACAGTTGCTTTTTTATTGACCAGTGGTCAACATTTGGTTTAGACAGTTATTGGTAAAAAACATTAGTATTTATTACTCATCCTGGTCTCTGGTGTCCAGAAGCTCTAAACATGTTATTATTATTAATCATCAACTTCTGTGTATTAAGCACTTAAGAAAATTTTTTTCACCTTATTTTCCTTTGATTTTTTCATAATTCCAGTTTTTTAAATAACAAGTAAATTGTTTTTTAAATAACAAGTTACAGGTGTTATATTTATTTTAAATATTTTAAGTTGTTTGATTGGATTCCTTCCCTCAAAATATGTAGGTTTACACACTTTCAGCTTTCCATTGCACACAAAACAGAAACAATGACCAAAACCATTTTTTACAATGGCGGATTTTTGTTGGTTCACGGCTAAGTTTGAATAGTCATCTTCAAAACCGTTTAGAATTAGATGATAAAGTTTTAGGAATATTCACAATTTATTCAATATAAATGTACAAAGACTCATCAGAAAATCTATATAAATATATGTATATAGATTTTCTGATGAGTCTTTGTTGATGAAACACAGTGTAAAATGAAAAAAAAAATTTTTAAGCAATTTTTTACTAATATATATATATATATATATATATATATATATATATATATATATATATATATATATATATATATATATATATATATATATATACAGTCATGTGCATGAAAATAGCAGTGGGAGAAAATTATTTATAAAATACATTTAATTTTTTTACTGATGGTTAATTTTGTATATTTTATTCTCTAAATATTTTCTGTTAGGGTTTTTAAATATAAAGAGGTTGGCAATATTGCTGTTTATACATACATGTATCAGAATTTAAATTAAATTATAAAATTTTGCTTTATTAACTGTGCGTTATAATAGCAGTGAATATACACTTTATTTTCTATTAGTGCCTTAAAAGTTGTTTTTACCATCAATTTTTTTTATACATTAAGGTAAGTGTTTGTTCATTAAAATTAAACGATATTTTATTAAGTTTCACAATTTTATTACAGTTAAAATGGGTAGAGCAAAACATTGTTCCAATGAGAAGCGTCAAATAATTTTAAATATGTTAAAAGATGGTAAAACTTACAAATTCATCCAAGATGCTTTACAATGTTCTGCAAAAATGATTTCCAATGCCAAAAAATGGACACAAAAAGCGGAATTGCGTGGGGGAAAATTTAAAACGTCATTGAAAACGAACCGTAAAATTATTAGATGTGCGAAGATAAATCCTTTTATGAGTTCCACAGCCATAAAAACGGAATTAAATTTACCAATATCGTCCTCGACAGTGAGAAGACGTTTGATAAAAGCCAATTTATAAGCCAGAAGGCCCAGAAAAACTCCACTTCTAAATAAGAGACAGATTAAAAATCGAATCGCATTTGCTAAAGAGCATCAAGAATGGCCATCATCGAAATGGCATAATATTCCTTGGAGTGATGAGACTAAAATTGTTTTATTTAATCCAGGTATTCACGAAAAGTTTGTACGAAGACCCCCACGAACAGAATATAATATAAAGTATACCACCAAGACAATAAAACATGGTGGCTGCCAGGCGATGGCATGGGGTTGTTTTTCTTGGTTTGGATTGGGCCCTATTTTTTGGATCAAAGACATCATGGATGCAACTGCTTATGTTAAAATACTGCAAGAAGTCATGTTACCATATGCAAAAGAAGAAATGCCTTTGAAGTGGATCTTTATGCAGGATAATGATCCTAAACACACCTCTCGTAAAGCTAAAAATTGGTTTGTAGAGAATAAGGTTGAGGTAATGAACTGGCCAGCACAATCCCCAGACCTGAACCCGATAGAAAACCTGTGGGGAGATGTTAAAATAGCAGTATCTTTGTCTAGACCAGCCAATAAAGAGGAACTCTGGAGAGCAGTTGAAGCAGCTTGGAGAGCTATTCCCTTAGAAAGATGTCGTCATCTAATCGAGTCAATGCCACGAAGATGTAAAGCAGTATTGAAAAATAAGGGTCATGGAACTAAGTATTAGATGTATTTTCAAAAGATGAATAAATAGTTTTTCATCAATGTTATATTTTATTTACTTTTTTAATGGTAAATCTGCATTCATTAAATGTGATAAAAGTACCTTTTTTAAAAAAATGGTAGTATGATATTGTCCATTTAAGTTTAAAAGCTTTTTTTAGACTAAATAGTGTCAGATAACACTTAATTATGAAAAATTAACAATTACGGTCCGAAATTATGCATATCATTAAATTTAATGTTTTTTTATAATTTTTTGTGCCACTGCTATTTTCATGCACATGACTGTATATATATATATATATATATATATATATATATATATATATATATATATATATATATATATATATATATATATATATATATATATATATGTATATATATATATATATATATATATATATATATATATATTTATATATATATATATATATATATATTTATATATATATATATATATATATATATATATATATATATATATATATATATATATATATATATATATATATATATATATATATATATATATATATATATATATATATATATATAAAGTAGTCAAAAGAAAGTTCGTTTAAAATGATTAAAAAACGTGAATTTTTGTTAATGATTAGTAAATAGCATTATATTGGAGGATTCAAAAATTGTCAAATATACGTTCTTATGACTGAAAAATCAAATGTACTTATATTCATCAAATATATTCTCGCAAAAATAATAATGGCACAAATAAGAAAAATTTCCAAATTTAGACAAAAAATTATTTTTCAAATTTAGTAGAGCCCCATTGCCAGAATAACTGCTTACAAGCATCAAGGCAAATTGATTCCACTAGAGATTTGATTTCTTGTAAAGTTATTTTCTCCTATGCTTCAACTATGGCTGCTTTTAGATCATTGTACCACAAATGCTCAAACAGATTAAGATCAGGGACAAACCATTTTTTCAAAAATATTTCTTTGTTGCTATTGCAGAATGTTTTGGATCATTGTCTTGTTGAAAGACGAAGTTATTTCCAAATCTAAATTTACAAGCAGAGGGCTTCAAATTTTGCTTTAAAATTTCTATATACGAATTGGCATTCATTGTTGATTCAATGAAAGTCAATTTGCCAGCTCCTCGCCACGCCATTGATCCCCACACCATGTTTTCCACCACCATGTTTTACTGTCTCATGCAACACTTTTCATGCAACTCAATTTGTAAACCTCACCTTGTTTTACTGTCCATCTGATAAGACGGACATTTAAATTCATCACTCCAAATTACTTTTTTCCAGTACTCAATTGTCAACAACTTTTTTGCAAACAATAATCTCGGTTTCATGTCTTTTTTTGTGACAGGGTTTTTTGTGACATACTCTACCATGAAATCCTTGCTCTCGGATTCTATTTCAGATAGTTTGAGCTGAAATCATGATTTTGTAGTCGTTTTTCGTTTTAACTTTGTCCGCAAATCTTTTGAGCAGCTTCAAATCTGTAAAAAATCTTGCTTCACTTGTAAAATAATGTTTCTGTCAATGACAGCAGATGCTTTTCATTTACGTGCCTCTTCCTGCTATATCAGTTGTAGTCCCAGTTATACTTAACTAAAGTTAAGTATAACTGTTATACTTTTAAGTTATATTTTTTTATAATGTTGCCAACTGTTCAAAAAGGGATTTCAGTCTGCTTATTAACTTCTCTGAAGGTCTTACCATTATTTACCAAATCCACAGCTAAGTTTCTTTGAGAAATTGTCCAATGTTGTTTTACTACGCGCATGTTGTTCTTAATTAATCAAATTTTATTCAATAAATCAAAACTCATGGGTTACATATATATTTTATGTTTCATATGTAATTATTTTTAGAATTTAACTTATCAAAGTTTTATTATTTTCCAACAAAAATTCAAAAAATTACTAAATGAAATTTTTGTGCCAATAATAATTTTGCTTCTAATATAACATCTGTATGCTTTTAATGTTTTAAAAAATAATAATCCTTTGGTAAAATCATGCACAAGTACATATAAAAATCTTCATAATAGTAGTACTCTTTGAAGTAGTAGAAAATCACTTAGCAAATTTTTTTTTATTTTACACTGTGTTTCATCAATAAAGACTCATCAGAAATGAATGATCAAATTAATAAAACTTCAATTTATACCAAAAAATTAAATTACAGTAAGTCGCAAATGTCATACTATAACTTTATTCATCTAGTATAGGTTATTTTTGAACGAGTAATTGAACTTATTAATTTCTATATTCATGATTGCAAGTTTATGATTGCTCTGTTCTTTTAAAAACATTGAGCACTCTATTTTGTAGAATACATTTTAAAATTGTTTAAATATATATATATATATATATATATATTTAAACAATTTATATAATAATTGTTTAATATATATATATATATATATATATATATATATATATATATATATATATATATATATATATATATATATATATATTATATATATATATATATATGTATATATATATATATAGACTTCAAAATGTTAGAGGTTGGCATTATGTCAGCAAAAAAAAAATTGACACTAAGGAATTACCTAAAAATAATTACATATGAAACATAAAATATATATGTAATACATAGATATATATATATTATATATATATATATATATATCTATGTATATATATATAGATATATATATATATATAGATATATATATATATATAATGATATATATATATATATATATATATATATATATATATATATATATATATATATATATATATATATATATATATATATAGATATATCAACCCTTGGAATAAAGAAAAATGAGAAAAATAAATTACCAACTTCAAAATGTTAGCGACTTCAAAATGAGAAAAATAAATTATCAACTTCAAAACATTTTTCTTTATTCCGAGGGTTGATATATATATATATATATATATATATATATATATATATATATATATATATATATATATATATATATATATATATATATATATATATATATATATGTATATATATATGTATATATATATATGTATATATATATATATATGTATATATATATATATGTATATATATATATATGTGTGTGTATATATATATATATGTATATACATATATATATATATATATATATATATATATATATATATATATATATATATATATATATATATATATATATATATATATATATGTATATATATATATGCATATGTATATATATGTATATATGTGTATATATATATATATATATATATATATATATATATATATATATATATATATATATATATATAAATTTTTGTTGCAATAGAGACTTGCTGCAAGTAAAAGCAGAATTTAGTAAATCTGCAAGAACCATACAAGCAGCCTCAATGGAATTAGAGAAAACGCAACGTGGATTGTCAACAGTTAATCAAAATACTCTTCTTGAGGAGCAGGCTCAACGAGAAAAAGTAAAAGTTATTAGCATTTATCTAAAATTGATTGTTGTTATCTAAAATTGATTGTTGATAAATATTAAACTCTATTAGCATTGATAATTTTTTGTTGGTTTTTGTTCCATGTAAGAATATTTTTGGTAGTGAAACTGATTAAAAACCGCAAACCTAAAAAATAAAAAGGCAATCTGCTTAAAGCAATTTTTTGAAGCATTTCTGATTAGTATAAGGATATCTTTTATAGGTTGAATCGCAATTGCGTGAAAAAATACGAGAACTAATAGATTTGCAAGCTACTTTAAACAAAATGAAAGACCATTATGAGATTAGGTAAATGATTTATTGCTTATATGTTATTTTGATATTCGGTTATTTAAGAAACTAACCTCCTAAATGTTGTAGGCTAGATGAGATCACAAATTCTTTAACTGAATCCAAAGCAAGAGTAGATGAGCAACAGAAGACTATCGGCTTGTATAAAAATAAGCTAAAACAATTGGTATTTCTTTAAAAAAAATTTTTTTTTGATAAAATTGTTTAGAAATTTATCTATTATTCTGCAGAATTTATTTCAATTTTCAATTTTCAATATTTTTATCTTATTATTATTAATGTTGTAATGATTATTATTGATGATCTATCGCAAGGAGGCCATGGTAAAATTCGATGATGTTACATTGAGTTTGATTGTGGTATATAAAAATTAATGATTGTGCTATATAAAAAATTAATGATTTTATTATAGGGTATTGAATATTCAGAAACAACCGAGAACTGGAAAAATGATAGCCAAGTTAATATAGAAGCAATGCGTGAAGAAATTGAAGTTTTGCAAAGTACATTGTATGAACTTGCCAACTGTATTTTAGAAGATGCAGATAGTACATCTAGTTCTCTTGATTATTTGCTTTCAAAAGTTGAAGCTGAAATTGATACTGATAATGATATCGATCCTTCATCAAAAGTAAAAGATATAGTTCAGTCTAGTTCTCCGTTGATTCATGTGAAGTTAAGATCTAAATCACCAGTGCGTGCTCGTTCACCAGCTTATATACAATCACTGGTAGCTGGTTCTCAATCAGCTATGAAAAAGCGCCAGCTACAACTGCAAGTATGTTCTTTTTTATGTACTTTGTAAAAAATTTATGTTCTCATTTGAAATTAGTTTTTTAGTGATTTCATAGATGTCTGAAGGAAATCAAGAATTTTTTGAAGATCACATAGATATATGGAAGGATTAAATATGGATGTGTTCTTGAGTTTTAGTTAAAAAGTATTTAAAATAAATAAATTATTTAAATGACGTTATAAGAACTGAAATTTTTTTTTTTAACAAGGATCTTGAAAACCTTTAACTTTTCAAATTTCACTGAATTTTTCAAGATCTTCAGAATTTCTTGAAGATTATGATATTTTGAGGATTTTTTTTTAACTTTAAAAAAATTTAATGAATGAAACTTTTTTTTTAAAATAAAATAAATAAAAATTAATTAATTTTTATAAGTTTATTTTATAAATAGGAACAGAAAAGACAATTAGATATAGCAGTTATGGATAAACAAAGCTTTAAAAGACAGTTTGACATAAGTTCATCTAAGTTGCAGCAGTTAAACACAGCATACGATGAATTAAAAACTGATCATTTATCATTGTAAATGTTTATATTTATAATTTTTTGATTTTAAATTTTTTGTTAGTTACAATAGCATTTTTTAAAACAAAAGTTTATAAAATCATAAACATTTTTATAAATTTTATATATATATATATATATATATATATATATATATATATATATATATATATATATACACTAACATATAAACTAAAAATAAAAAGTATGAAAGTTTAAGATTTTCTTTGCATTTAATATTTAATTTATTCTTTTATTAGACAATCAAAGTACAATAAAAGTAATGAAGATTGCAATAAATACAGAAATCAATTACAAATTATTGAAAAGGAAAAACAGAGTTTTGAAAACATGAAAAACCACCTGCAGAATAAAGTTGAAGAATATGAACATAAAGTTAATCAATTAGAAAATCAAATAAGTTATTTGAAAAATAATCATGAGAATGAAAGTGAAAAAAAGGTTTGTTTTATTATTGTTATTTTAATTTTTGGTTATTATTAATATTAATAGTATTTTTCAAATAATAATGAAATTTTTCAATAAATTAATTACATTGATTTGTTACACTTATTTATAATAAATTTTAAATCACTTTATAACCTTTATTTAAAAAATTATTTTTTATTTCAATTTTGAAAAAGTTTAAACTATGAGCTGTTAAGTTTAAAATAAAAAATAAAAAGTTTCACTAGAATATTTATATTTACACATTCTCTTTTTGATTTAAAATATTCATATGTATGCTCCCATTTTCCTATTGTCTTATACAATATGATTTTTCAAGGTATCGAAATGCACTTTATTGATTTATAAAATAGTTTTTAGTTTTTTTAATGATTTTTTAATGTTAACAGTAACATTTAGCAGAATAAATATATATAAATAAATACAGTATAAATAAGTATAATATATTTAAGTAAATATAATATATCTAAGTAAATATAATATATAAAATAATCTAATATATTTAAATAAATACAATATATATATAAAGAAATATAATATGTATAAAGAAATATTAAAGTCAAAAGTTGTATAAAAAGCTTAAATTAAGGAAATTGTGTTTAATCTGCATACAATTCTTACAACCAATTTGTTGATATAAATTCTAACAGCAACTGTTTTGCTGACAAGAAATTGTTTTTATTCAAATCAACCTTTGATTATATTATGTTTCATAATTTAATAAAATTATTTTAAGGACTCCATTATGAATGAAGTTTCACGTTTGAGTAATGAAAGTCAACAACTTCAAAAGGTTATTGCAGACTTGGAGTGCAAACAGTCAATGTTAAAAGAAGAATGTGTTGATTTAAAAGAAAAGTTAAATAGAGCTTCACTTGAAAAGGACGTTTTTCTACAAGAAAACACTCATTTGCAAGAGTTGCTGAAATCAGCTCAAGATGAACGTGACGACTTAGAAAATGATGGTGTTTATTTTTTTATTTTTTTTTGAATGAATTTCTTAACAAAATTTAGGGTTTTTTAAGTTTTACTTTTTTTTTTTTGAACTTAATTTAACATTTTTAGTTAATAAACTTAAAATGGATGAAGTTCAATTGAAAGATGCATTGGTCAAATTGCAGACATTAAATGAAGCTCTTGGTGAGGATAAACTTAATCTTGGAAAGATAGTTCTTCAAGTTGAAGCTGAAAGAGATCAAATTTACAAAGAAAAAGAAAATCTTGAATCAGAAAAGTTAGGCTTAAAAGAGGTAAATGGTTTTAGTATTTGTCATGAAAAAACATATCTGCATAATTTGCATATGATAAATAATGTTGATTAATTTGTTCATATTCTTTTGTAATTTCTTTTTGTTTTTTAAGTTTGGTTCAGCACAATTATCATTATTTTTATTTTTTGATATATACATTTTTTTGTGTGTGTGTAAAAAAATGTATACATTTTTATTTGTAGGAATTGCTTCGAATCGATAAAGAGAAAGCATCACTAGAATCAGAGCGAAAAGGAATACTTGAAGCAATAAACCTAAATGATGCTACAATAGAAAAACTAGAGGAGCAATTACAAGAGGCTTGTTTTTCAAAAAACAAAATGAATGACACTTTGAACAATGTTGTTAGAGAAAAAGAAGTATCTCAGTACGAGTTGGTGTCACTGCGACTTGAAGTGGAAAGATTGCAGAACAGTCTTAACCGTCTATTGAAAGAAAAGGAGGAACTGACCAAAGAAAACTCGCTTATTTCAGTAAAATTATCTGGTAATTTAAAAGAAATTCAAGCACTGACAGAGTCAAATGCTTTACTTAAGTCTGAAAAAGAAACATTAGAGTCATATCTTTATGAGTTGCAGCACCTTGTAGGAAAACTTGAAGTACGTAAAGAGCAACTTGAAACAAGCAATCATGAAGTCCATCTGGCAAAAGATACTATAGCTGTTGAGTTAGCTCACCTAAAAAAAGAAAATGAAATACAAACAGCAAAGTTAAATAAAGAAAATGAGCTTTTGCAGCAGAAATTATCTTTGCTTGAGCGTGAGCGAGACCTCTCATTAAGTCGGCTGAAAGAACAGCATGAAGACCAGATCCACCAACTTGCAATGGTAATACTAAAACTGTTGTGTTTAATTTTTGAAAAATTTTAAATAATTTGATTTTACTTATGAACTTGCCTTTTTTTTGTTTTATGTACATATTAAAAGTCTGTGCTTTTCTTTTGTCATAAGTAGATATCTCTATCATTCTATCTGTCATTTGTAGACTCCACTTTGCTGCCTGCTTTTAACAGAACTTAATGTTTTAATGGTCTTTAACAACTTAACTGTGAATTAGATTTTAAAATTGCCTTTTTTATTACAGCATAATATTTTGTTTACAATTTTTTTAGGCTGCTTATTTTCTCTTCTTTATATTGTAATTTTTTTGATAATTTATTGTATCATGATAATGTAAATTATCAAAATTGTTGTAAATTGTTTATTATAATTTAATCAATTATGATAATAATTGTAAATATTCCTAATTATTGAAAATTATCATAATTGTTGCATATTATTGTAAACAATTTAAAAAAAGAACAGCTATAAAAATAAGTTAAAAAAGGAAAAAATAAGAAGCAGATATAATCGTCAGACACAGTTAAGAGGTTAAAAGGCATTTCTTTTTTCTAACTTTATTAAGCAGCTATTGCCATCTTTTTCTATACGTGTTTAGAGAAAGCTCTACTCCCATATCCTAAATTAAATTTTTAAGCAACATTTAAACACTTTTGATGCATGTGTATGTATATATTTTAATGGCATATTTATAATTATATAATTTTTTATATTCTAAAATAATTTATTTTTAATAACAAAAAAATTATAGCTTTTTTTATAATATTTACTTATTTTTTATATTTTTATATTATACTTATATTTTTATATTTTTATATTATACTTTTTTTTTATAATATTTACTTCTTTAATAAATGCTTATTTTATTGGAGATGTGTGTGACACATTAACATCAATTGGTTATATAGCTGAAATAAATAATGAATTAACCTTAATTAGTTCATTATTTATTTCAGCTATAAAAAAAATATTGAAAAGTACAAGTCTTTATTAAAGAAAATGTTTTTTCAATTTTAAAACAAAGGTTAAATAGAGCTTCACTTAAAAGGGTGACAGCCAATTGCAAGATTCGCTAATTAGCGAATCTTGCAATTGGCTTTCTGAATGAAAAATAAACTATCAAGTAAATCAAATGAATAATGACTCTATAATTAAACTAATTATATAAAGGGCAGATTCTTATAGAATGTGTTGATATGTATCACAAGTATATCAATTGTGAGAAATTTATATGTGAGAGATAATTGTTGAGATTTATGTTGATTTTTCTGTGGCAAAAGATTTGTGTTGATTTGCATGTGATAAACTACTTTTGTAAAGCTCCAAATGAAAATTATTCAAACTTAAACATTCTAATTAGTAATTAGTTTTCTAATTTTTTATTATTTGAAAAAAAATTTTATATAAAAACAAGTATGTCGGCTGACAAAAAACAAATAGGGTAGCAATGCAAATAGTTTCTCTCATTTCTTAGTTTTTTGATTTTACTGTTACTTCTTTTTTTTTTTTTTTTACTGTTACGTTCAGACTTCTGTATGATGACATCATCCTTATCAATCATTAACTTGCTATTAAAATACTTTTATTGTTATATATATTTAAATACTGTTATTGTTATAAATATTTTTAAATACTGTTATTGTTATATATATATTTAAATACTTTTATTGTTATATATATATATATATATATATATATATATATATATATATATATATATATATATATATATATATATATATATATATATATATATATATATATATATACTTTTGTTATATATATATTTAAATACAATTATTATAGTCCATGATCAGTGTGTTAGCCAGAAATATATTTTTACCCTGTTTTTGCAATATTAGAATTATTTCTGTTATTGTTCTATGAAATTATAGGAGTTTTCAATGAATTATTCTGTACTTCATACAAATAAAAAAAAAATGTCATTGAAATTTGGGAATTTAAAATTCACAAAATTTTGCCATTAAGCTGGCTAACAGATCCTGATCATGTTTTTCTTATTTAAATTAATATGTTACAATTATAACTCATTATTATTATTACTATTGTTATTATTTTTATCATTATAACAGTTTATCATTATAGTATTTTATTATTATAATAGCTATTATTACTATTATTATTATTATTGTTATGTTTATAAAAGGAAAATAGATATCTTGTTTTTATTGGTGTTGTTGTTATATATCTTGTTTTTATTGGTGTTGGTTAATGATAAAGGAAAATCAGATGCAAGTGATGTTTAAAAAATATTTTCTATTTAATATTAATTTCAGGACAAAGACAAAATGTTAACAGCAAAAAAAGAGGAACATTTGATTGTCATAAATGAGCTTAAAGAAGAGATGGAAGATTATCAAATTAAAGCTGAGCGTGATCGTTTAGCTTTGATAAATGAAGTTGCAAGCATTCAAAGGGAAAGAGATGATCTACTTTTGCAAGCTGAAGCAGAAAAACAAGCACACTTAAGAGCAGCAGATAGTGAAAAATCACTTCTTGTTGAAAAAATAACAAAGCTTAAAGACGATTTGGATTCAGCGAATGAAGAATTAGAGATCTTGAAAAGAGATCTTGAAGAAAGAGCAGCAAGAGAAAAGGTTTTTTTTATTAGATCAAAATTATTTGAATAAAAATTATTTTAGATTAATTATTATTTACAAGTATAAATAGTTAAGGAATAGTTATTTACTAGTATAAATAGTTTACAAAGAGTTATTTACTAGTATAAATAGTTTACAAAGATTTCATTAGGTCTGGAATAATAATGCATGTTTATCTTATGTCTATTTTATGATTTCTGTGTCCTAAAATTGTATACTAAATTTAAATATTATACATAATTATATTAGATATAAATTCCATGTACAATAGTATATGATTTTAGAGACTCTAAATTTTAGAGAAAGAAATGTATATAAACGTGTATTCTAGTGAAATTTATTCCAATTCATTCATGTTTATATATATATTTATTTAATTTTTATAAATTTCTTTGTTTCAAATTTTTTAAATATATTTGTTAATTTTACAAATTATTAAATTATTATGGTATTTGTTATTTATAGTTATTGTTTAATAAATTTATTTTTTCATTTGATTAAAGAAAAAAAAGGTTTGATTAATTTAAAGATTAACTTTAAATTAATTAAAAATAAAATTTGAATAAACTAAAGAACAACTCTATTTTAAGTTTGCACTTGTTTACATATATATGTTTATATTTATATATTTTTTGCATTTTATCTACATTATTGTACAGGATTTACTCAATGATAGTGCACACGAGATAGAAAAATGCAAAGAAAATCTAGAAGAAACTGTGAATCTTTACGAAGCTAAGTTAAAAGATCTTGTTGACAGTCATGATAAGCTTCTCAAGTGCGCATTATTAAATATTTTTCTTATTTTGAATTCTGGTTTTGCAATTGTTTACAATTTTCTTTTCTTTTAGAAATAAAGAAGAGTTATATGGAGAGTTGTCCAATGCAAAGTTTCAGCTTAAGATTTTAAATGAAAATCACGAAGCAGCACAAAAGGAGTGTAAAGAATTGACAAACAAGGTAATTGATTTAAATGGAAAATTAGACGATGCAAGCAAACACACATTAGAGTTGAAGAGGTCTCTTAAAGATGCTGAGGTAGAGAAAATGCTAGTACTTTCAGGTGCTGAAGAGTTACGAGAAGCTTTTAAGCAAGTAGAAAGTGAGTTTATTTTTTGTTGTATTGTTTAGATATCTTATGTTCTAAAGAAATATAGTCATACTTTTTTACTTTTGACTCTCTAATGATTATTTGTTATTTTTATATAATTTTTTTAAGGTGAGAAAATGACATACAAAAAAAATTATGAAGATAGCAAAAAATTAGCTTCTATTTTGGATGATACAAATGTTATGCAGACCAGAGAAACAGATGATTTGCGTCATATGATCAGTGAACTTGAGACGGCAAGACAAGAAACAAGAAAAGAAGTTCAACAATTGCAGAACCGGGTTTGTTAAAATAGAAAAGCATAGTTACATTTGTGCCAGCAAAATATCTCTTTTTATGGTTTAATTTTTAAATTTCTTAGTTTAACTATTTAAAAAAAGTTGTTGTAAAAAATGTTCCATTTTTAGGTGCGTCTGTTAGATACTGAATGTGTAAAATGTAAGAAAGACTTAAATATTGCAAAAGATCAACTTAATAAAACAAATTCTCTTCTTGAAGAAGAACGGCTTGATTTGATAAACACAAAAAATAAGCTTAGAGGTTGTTATTTAAGTTTGCAATGACAAAAAAATTTTCATTTTGTATTTTTATTGTTAAATATTTTTTAGTGTATAAAATCTGAATTAATTATATCATTTTATTAATTATTAGATTTTATAAATATAGTTTTAAGTTTAATATATTTGGTATTAGTTATTTTAATATATATATATATATATATATATATATATATATATATATATATATATATATATATATATATATATATATATATATATATATATATATATAACCTTCGGAATTAAAAAAAAATGAGTTCGGCAATAATTTGCTGACCTCTATGTTTTTGAGGTCGGCAAAAGTTATTTAATATGAAGGTCTGACCATAAATCATAGAAGCGAGGTCAGCATTGCCAAATGCTGACCCTAATTTCGAGGGCTGATATATATATAGTATACAGTAACTCATATTATATTTATAGAATGTGAAACATCTAAAGATGCCATTAAAGCAGAGATGCAGGCACTAGCCACAAAGGCTAGAGAGCATAATGATGAATTTGGACTTAGAGAGAAAGATCTACTTATGGCTTTAGAAGATGCTCGTCAAACAGAAGTAAAAGTGTATGACAAAATGAGACAACTGGAAAATCTTTTAGATGTATCAAATCAAGTTAGTCTTTTAAAAATATTTTGCAATAGGCTGTTTAAAAAGAAGCAGTTGTATATTTATTTAATATTATTATAACTATTATTTATCGATTATTATTAAAATATTTGGAAATTCTTATTTATGAAAATAATTTTCAGACAAATATTTATATTGTCTCTGTTTTTTAGGAAAAAAGTGATTTGAAGTTAAAGTTATCAAGTGTTGAAGGTCGTAATTTGGGATTAGAAGACCAGTTAACAAAACTTGAAGCTCTTAAAAACGATTTAGACTCAAAATTATCAAATGTATACTCAGCTCTTAGAAGGACACTGGGTATTAAGCCAAATCAATCAATAAACAGGTATTATTTAAGATTGTATTAGTTCATTATCTTTTTAGTTTGCATTTTGAGTCAATGCCTATAAGTTAATATTTTTATTGCCTGAACAGTTGAGAAATACCAAAACATGTGTTGTATGATCCAATTGCAAATCCAGTCACTACCAAAGTGTACCAACCAAAGTGTTAAAAATAGAACTTTTGCTCAATGAGTTGTTCAATAATGAATGTTAATAAAAACATGTAAAATTTTGATATTTTTTCTGCTAGTAAAAAGATTCATCTTTTTAAATGGTCTGTTTGAAAGCATGCATTGGAAAATATGTAGTTACTGCAATATCATCATAAGCTTGCTGGCTCCAAAAAGCTCAGGATTTATATAAAACAGCCCAGATTTGCAAATACTTTTTTTTTATAGGCCTTTTATAAGAATATATATATATTTATAAACTTTTTATAGGATATATACATATATTAGAATGCCTCTAAAAACAACTTTTTTTGACATTGTCTGCTGCCATCCCCTAAATGTGTTCTGTGTAATAAATTAATACTAAATTTAAAAAAATTTTAAATAAAAAAAATTTTTTTTAAATTTAGTATTAATTTATTGGGTTGGTTAAGTTCCTTAAACATCAAATGGGTCCCTAATATTTAAAAAAAAAAGTTCTTCACAAGTATATCATTGTGTTTGAATTGTGGCTTGTGAATTTCAACTCTAACAAAACCCAGTTGTTTACTGCAAACATCTACCGTAATATGGTCAATATTCCTATATTAATGAATGGCAATCCTCTTACTGAGTCATCCTCTTTATGTCTTCTTGGATTATCGCTTACTACTGATCTTTCATGGAAACCATATATACAATCGATTGCTAAATTAGCTAAGGTTGCTTCTCTTTATCGTGCTCGCCATTTCCTTACTTCTGATTCCATTCTCTACCTCTACAAATCTCTTATTCGTCCCTGTTTGTAATACTGTTGTCATATTTGGGCTGGTTCTTCTAACGATTTACTTTCTCTTCTTGACAAGGTCCAAAAACGCATTGTAAATGTTGTTAGACCTGGACTATCTGCTAAGCTTGAGCCTCTTTCCCGTCGTCGTAAAGTTGCATCTCTTTCTCTTTTCTACAAATACTATCATGGTCACTGCTCAATGGAGTTATCATCTCTAGTTCCATCAAATAAATTCATTCTCGTTTTACTCGTCATTCAGCTAAGTTCATTCGTTTACTGCATCTGTAACTGCATGCTCTAAAAACTTTTATTCATCTAGTTTTTTTCCCCGCACTTCAATCTATTGGAACTCTCTCCCATCTTCATGTTTTCCTGACTCATACAACCTTCAACTTTTCAAATCTTCTGTCAACCGTTTCCTTGCTCTATAACTCTGTTCTTTTTTTTCCTAGTAACTCCCAACTTAATAGTGGTTGCTTGCAGCCTTGTTGGGAGTGAATGCATAAAAAAATATATATATATATATATATATATATATCGATGGTTAAGAGCACAAAGGGAATATGTCCAACATTAAACATTAGGTAAACATTAAACAAATTAGGTATTAAAGTATGTAAAAGAAATGAAAATAAAATAGTAAAAAACAAGACAGAATTAATTGAGGAATGTATTTGGTTAAAAATCATGACAATAAATAAACATGAATTATTGTATGTTTTAAAACTTTCAAGTTCAGATTTCTCAAAACAATGGTTAGTGGACGTATTGCCTTTGTGCTCCTAACCATCGATATATATATATATATATATATATATATATATATATATATATATATATATATATATATATATATATATATATATATATATATATATATAAATGTATGTATGTGTGTGTATATATATATATATATATATATATATATATATATATATATATATATATATATATATATATATATATATATAAAATAGGAAAAACTAGTAATAACTTTTTATCTATATATGCTATAGTAGATTTTATAAATATAGTTTTAAGTTAAATATATTTAGTATTAGTTATTTTAATATATATATATATATATATAATATATATATATATATATATATATATATAAACTCAATTTTATATTAGCACCCAGAAGATTAAAATAAAATAATTTTTATTACTTATTGTCTTGCTGTTTTGTGATTTAATTTGTTATGATAATTATTATGATAATTATCATAATAAAATTTGTTATGTTATTAATGTCGCTTAGAAAAACTAACATTTAAAAAACGGCTTTTAAAACACATAAATGTATTTTAAGTCAATCAGAATGCTTAATTCGCATTCATGTGGATGAAATATGGAATATGTTACAATGGGATTAAAATATAAAACGCATGTTTTGATTATATTAAAATATGAAACGTTTAGCATTTTATATTTTTAAATAAAAACAATAACATTTTAAAAATACTCTAATATGAGTTTTTCCTCCACTTATGTTTTCATAACTATAATTTAACTTGCGATTAAACTATATGAGCTTTAAACTTTTTCATTTCAAGTAACAGTAAAATTGCATTAAAAATATTTTAAATAATAAAATAAATAAAAGTTTTTAAAACATAATAACATTATAATAATCATGCCGAAAAAACTTGATTTGAAAAGTAAGAGAAGAACGAGAAAAAAAAGTTTTTAACTTTTGAATGAATTAATTAAAATTTTGAATGAATTGACCTTATTATGCAATAAATAAGGTATGTAATAAATCTTTTTAGTCTATATAAACAAGAAACATACAAATATTCTTTATTAAATGTTATAGTTATTGCTTGTTTATGAAATGTTGTAAAGTGATATTGTAAAATGAAATGTTGTAGTTATCTCTTAATTATTGTTAACGTTGTAGTTATCGCTTAATTAAAATTAGCGGCGAATTGACGTTGGCGTTAAAGCTGTCATTTTGTAATAAATGTAAATATTTTGGTTAACTATTTACATTTTTATTTGGAAAAACGTAAAATACTAGGGCAAGTTATATTTATTTATAAATTTTTTGAATTTATTCTAGAAGAAATAAAAAAAAATTAAAAAAAAGGTCCTCTTAATGTAGAGAGGACCTTTAGACCAGTGGATATGTCACTGATATATATATATATATATATATATATATATATATATATATATATATATATATATATATATACATATATATATATATATATATATATATATATATATATATATATATATATATATATATATATATATATATATATATATATATATATATTTATATTTATATTTATATATATATATATATATATATATATATATATATATATATATATATATATATATATATATATATATATATATATATATATATATATATATATATATATATATATATATATATACACACAGTTGGGTGCAAAAAAAAAGCCACACTCAATTTTTTTATAAAAACAACAACAACAATTGTCTAAAACTCATATAATGTTACTTCTATTACAGTCAATATTGATAAAAATGTTTATAATATAATTGTATATTGCATATAATAAAAAGAAATTAGGGTTTGTAAAGTATTTTTTAGGTTAAAGCTGTTTTAGTATTTAATTGACCATCCTTTGTTTTTTATGACTTCCGCACATCTAGAAGGCATACTATCTACAAGTCTTTTTAATAAGTCATTTGGCAAAGCATTCCAACCATGAAGAAGAATTTGGAACAGATCATTTTCATTTGTTGCCCTACGATCTTGCAATTAGTTTCCAAAATAGTCTAAAGGTTTTCTATTGGATTTAAATCAGGAGACTGTGCTGGCTTCGACATAACTGGAATCAATTTAGATTCTAGATATCTTTTATTCAACCGTGCTGTATGTTTGGGATCATTATCCTGTTGAAAGATATAGTCACCATTAGGAAAAAGTTCTTTTATACTTGGTCCAAGCTGGTTAACTAAGATTTTGTGATACAAATGCTGGTCCATAATGCCCTTCACCCGGTAAAGTTTTCCAACTTTGTGTGCACTAAAACAACCCCAGACATTAATCTTTTTGTCATGTTTAATAGTTGCCTTGCATGTTTGAGGATTGAATTTTTCCCCAATTAATTTCCAACAGTGAGATTGACCATTATAATACAAAACAAATGGAGACTAATTGTTCCAGATAACGTTAGCCCATTGTTATCATGTCCAATATTTGTGCTCAATGCACCACTTTACACGCTTTTTTCGATTGATTTCACTAACAAAAGGTTTTTTAATTTGCTTTCCAGAAAAAAAATCACTTGGTGCTTTAATCCTGCGAGATATTGTCCACTTTGAGATATTAGTAAGGTTCAAATCTAGTTTTATCTCAGAACGAGTGATTTTACGATTTTTTTTGACAGCATTAAGAATGTAGCGATCTTCCTTTTTTGAAGTTTTCGGTTTTCTCCCAGATCCAACAGCCCTTTCAGTTTTATCAGTGTGTTTGTATTTCTTTACCAATCTACTAATAAAAGTTGAGTTTTCTTGTTTAAAACGCTTTCCAATGCTTCTGTGAGACTCTCCTTGGTCAGCAACTTCAATAATTCGTCCAGTTTCTACATCTGTAAGATCTTTTCTAAAATATTAAATGTGTCCATAATAATCTGTTTTTTAAAGATTTTATTTATATAAATATTAGTTTATATATATATATACCTTTTCTGCCCTAAATTTTTTTCACTGCCACATCCAATTTTTTTTGTTTTGCATTATTATACATTTTATGCTTAAAATATAAAAAAAAATTAGCGTGGCTTTTTTTTGCACCCCACTGTATGTATATATATATATATATATATATATATATATATATATATATATATATATATATATATATATATATATATATATATATATATATATATATATATATATATATATATATAAATATATATATATATATATATATATATATATTATATATTTTATATATATATATATATATATATATATATATATATATATATATATATATATATATATATATATATATTATATATATATATATTATATATTATATATATATATATATATATATATATTATATATATATATATATTATATATATATATATTATATATATATATATATATTCGTGTTTATGTATATGTATTTATCAATCTTCTTCCATACTCAACCTTACTTAAGACAGAATATTGTAGAGTTAAATGATATATTTAATTTTTATCCTCAATAACCTTACTGTGTGTTAATACTGCCCTGGAATAGACAAATGAAATCATTACTTTCATATAGAAATAAAATTTCCAATGAAATGCCCAATAAAATTATTTCTTTATGCACAAAATTTTTATTTATATTTAAAATATATCTTAATATAAAATCACAAGAGTTCTATACAAAATATTTATTATAAAAGTTAATCAAACTTTATTTAATTTGTTCCAGAAATTAAATAAAGAATTTAATTTATGGAACCAACAACTGAACATTAAATTGATCATTTTTTAAAACTTTGGTATTAGGTGCAACTAAGATAAAAGGCCCATGCAGGATTCCTGCATGCCCTCGAAGGCCAGTATGCTCATGGCTACCACGTTTACAAAAAGCTATCTCACTATTTTTTGGTCTAAATGCAAGTGCTCTTTTTTATACATATATTTAATTGTGAATTATTATTTCATTATTATTTTTTTTCTGTTTGTTTGTTTGTTTATTATTTTATTTTGATATATATATGCTGTATGTCAATTAATGTGTGTAAAATCTGTACTGTCATTTGATTTATGTTTATAAGAATTTCATTATCTCTAATGCCAGCCATTTTATATATACTAAAATTAAATATATTGTTATAAATGAATTTTATTTTTATTAAAGGTTTTATAAGATTTCAAAGTTTCAAAGCTCAAATAAATTTTCATAAATTATATAAAATTATGTAAAAAAAAGACTTTTACATAAAAATTTTATAAACTGTTTTATTATATTGTTAATTTATTTTTATAGAAAATTTTTTTTTACTTTATCAAATTTAATGAATTGCAAGATATCGCGTTTGAATTTATCAAATTTGATTCATTATATTGAATTGAAATTTTCTAAATTAATATATTAATTAGTTTTTTAAAATGAACATTTAGTTTGTGTTCAAATTACTGAACGAAAAACATTTTACACTTTAATTTTTGTTTAATTTTGGTTACCAAATTTTTAATTTTAAAATTTTGAATTTGTGATTATGTTGGAAAAAAGCGATTTTTTCTGTCAATTGCTGGCCACCTTAAAATTGATAGAGGATCGTTTATGCAATGCAGAAACATTAGTAGTCAGCTCATTTGAATGCGCTAGGGATACATCTCTTATTCTTCTGAACAACCTGTTGGTTTTCCTTCATTTTTTAATATTTAAGTCATCTGTTTTAAAAGTCTATCTGTTTAATCAAAAATAATCAAAAAGTTTAATGTAATTATATTTTTATTATTGTTATTAATTTTTTGTTGTTTCATAGTACACCTTCGCCCCAGCCAAATGTCACTCCGAAACGTCGCGCACCTTACGCTCGGAATAGAGTGTATTTACAAAGCTCACACGATCAAAGCAGTGAATTCGATGAGACACCACCCAGTAAAAATGGTAAAGTTTGCAGTTTTAGTGTAGTGTGTGTTTATATATATATATATATATATATATATATATATATATATATATATATATATATATATATATATATATATATATATATATATATATATATATATATATATATATATATATATATATATATATATATGCACACACATATTAAAAAATATATTTAAATAATTATATACTCACTAACAAATAACATGCATAAAATTTCTTAGTCGAAAATACGTAGTTTTAAAACATATTTAAAAGTTGATTTTTTCTATTATTAACAATTTTAGTCAGCTTTGATACTTCGAATGAAATGGATCCCGAGTATGTTCGTAACTCTTTACGTGAGTTTGCACAAAAATTTAAAGATTTAGAGCATGAGCGCGATGAAGCTTTGATAAATATTGGCGGACTTCAGCGTCAACTAGAAAATCTTGAAATGGATCGACTTGATTATGAAAATCGTCTAAGCGTTTTACAGAAAAGTCTTCAAGATACGGCGGAAGGTTTTTACTTGCTTTAAGAGTTTTATTCTTATCTTAAATAATTTTAAATATTTGTAAACGTTAACACTCACGTAAGAGCATGAGGATTTTTTTATGCATTGACACATAAATGCGCGCTAATAAATAACTATCATTATTATTATCAAAAGCTCAATTTAAAGAGCGTTATTTTGAGTATTGCAGTTTTTATTACCGTCATGTTTTTCTTACAGATAAACGGGGTGCTGACGGACGTTTAAGTAGTGCTCAAACAGCTTTACTTCTTCAAGAAGAAACCATCCGAAGACTTGAACGAGAACGGAAAACGGCAGAAGAAAAATTTCAAATATTGGAATCCACCGTTGCTCAACTGGAAACTGAAAAACGCACTCTTAAAGAAAAATATATGAAAGCTCATAAGCATAAACTAAAATACGAGCAAGAAGCTGAAGCAATGCGTTCACAAATTGATGGCGCTGAGTCGCGCATCACGCGAACAGATTTAAAGAAAAAATCTCTTGAAGGTATAAAACCAGTGGGTACATTTGCTATCAAATATCAATTTATTCGTTTAAATATCGTGTCTTTGATATCAAATGGAGATACCAGGCTGGGATATTATTCGCTTTATTTATATATATATATATATATATATATATATATATATATATATATACATACATATATATATATATATGTATATATATGTATGTATATACATATATATATATATATATATATATATATATATATATATATGTGTGTATATATATATATATATATATACATATATATATATATATATATATATATATATATATATATATATATATATATATATATATATATATATATATATATATATATATATATATATATATATAATTGTGATTTAATTTGTGACATACATTAAAAAACAAATTTCAGGAGATATTGATCGTCTTCGGAGTCAGTTACACGATGCTGAAAATGAAAAGCATGCTACAAAACAAAGATTAGAAATTCTTCAACGAACTTGTAAAGACCTTGAGCTAAAATCTTCGTCTCTTCAATTAACCGTAAGATACCCTGAAAAAAAATGTTTTCGAAGTTTCTTAATTTTCTTTAACCGACAATCGACATGAAATAAAAAGCAAAAGGATTTTGAGTTTTTTATCTCAAATAGTTTACTAATAGCTTTTAATATATTTAAATTTTACTACCTACATAAGTTTATCTAGAGTGTATTTATAGTAAAATAAATTTTTAACTAAATTTATATATAAATTAAAAGTGTCTGAAATAATGGCACGCATAGTTGTTTATTAGAAATATTTTTAAACATTTGTGACTTAGGTTGATCGCTTAAATATGTCATTATCGAAAAGCACTGATCAAGAGCATCTTCTTCAATCTAAAGTTACAGAACTTTCTGCCATCATTAGCGAAAAACAATCTGTTGTTGTTTCACTGCAGGATAAGTTGCAACAGACAGAACGCATCATTGTATCAAACGAGCAAGAAAAACAAGCCGCATTCGAGAAAGTCGAAAACTTAAAAAAACAATTACTTGAAAACAAAAAGTTAAACGACTTGCAGAACGATAAAATTTTGAATTTACGGAATGAAATAGCCAATTTAGAGGTATTTTGATTAGATTATGTTAATAGTAAGGGGTAAATAAGTTTTCTACTTTATTATTATTCCTTGTTATCTCTATAAACGATTCCCAATTATCGCATTTGTTTTTTTTCTTTCTGCAGAGTACGCGTATTAATCTTGAAAGTGAACTTCGGCAAGTTCAGACATTGCTACAGAAGAATAAAGTAGGAGACGAGGAGCTACTCAATAAATTAGAAAAATTCAAGGTCATTGTCGTAGATATGTTTATATATGTAAGAAATCTTTAAGAAATCATCATTACAGTACATACCCAGTAATGTGGGAAATAACATAGCTATGCAAAAAGAGGAGTGCATAATATTCAAAAAGTAAGCGCGTAGGTAAAAGGTAAAAATAACCACAAATGAAATAAATATGATTTTCCGTTCATCTCAGAAAATTTGTCTTTAAAGATTAAAACAAAAAAATATTTTAAAGACCGTGTGCAAAGTACAGAACAAAAAATTATTTTAATGACCGTGTGCAAAGTACAGAACAAAGTCACTAAAACTGTATAAAAAAGGAAAATTACTGAGAAAGTCCATAATATCTTTTTTTTACTTTTTTTTTTTTTTTTTTTGGCTCTTGTTCTTCATTTTTAACATTTAAAATCAATTGATGTAAAAATTATGAAGTATTATGAAAAAATTATGAGTATGTTAAAGTTACGTACCCTACTTGCTTACGTAATTACTTACCCTACCTTGCTAGTCTTAAGTACCCTACCTGCATACATACCTTACGCACCCTACCTGCTTTCGTACCTGAAACGCTTTTAAGATGATTGCTCATTTATATTTAACTCGTTTTCAGGAAGAAAAAAAAAACTTGCAAGAGCGTCTTGCTCAACAACAAAGACTTCTTGCTCAAGGAGAACAAGAGAAACGTGATATTGAAAAAAACAGTGTTAAAGTTGAAAAAGAAAAGCGTGCTTTGAAGGCAACTGTTGAGCAGGTTGTTTTTTTGTTAATAACATTTGTTTCAATTAGAAGTTTATTTTTGGAATGAATTGTAAATAAGTTGTTAAGTTTTAAATTTTGAATTTTCATTTTTTACCAATTAGCTGGAAAAAGAGAAATTTCTTATTGACGAGGAGTTGATTCAATTGAAGAATGATCAAACTGAATCGGATAAGATCCGTTCGAATTACGAACAAACTATAAACTCTCTGCGTATACAACTATCGCAGCTGCAAGAAACTCTGGAAGAAAAGGAATTACAACATAATAAAAAGTAAGTGTTTAATATTTTTCTCTAAAGAAATTTTGTTACAAAAATCCTTTATAAAATAAAGTAAAAACTTTGAGTTAATAACGGTGCTGATAAGCCAGTTTTTTGTCGTTACCGCTCGTTTCTCCGCCATCTTAACGGGTTTGTCTGTAATATTAAAAAATAAGGCAAATATATTTTATTTACAAATTTAAGATTAGCGTCGATGTCTGCGCGTCATCGAGATGATCTAATGAAAGAAATAGAGAGAATGAAGTCTTCCCAGCAGAGTTTAGATCGAACGTATGATGCGCGTGAACGTGCGCATAAACAGCGTATACGAGGTTTGGAAGACCAAATAAATACTTTAAAAGATCAATTCGCAAAGGAGATTCAGCAAAAACAATCTTTCATTAACCGCACAACTCAGAAGAATGAGGAAATCCAAGAAATTCGTCAAAAGATAAATTCTTCGATAAACGAAGTTGCACGTAACGCCGATCCGCGCATTTTAGATCGTGAATCTCAAAAGTTAGACACAACTTACGACAACTATAACGATTTTTCTGCTGTGCTGACTGCATCCACTCCTTATTCAAACAGAATGAAAGTCTCTCCATTTATAATAGATAAGTACAGTAGTATGACGCCGACAACTGATCCTGGACTAATGAGTTCTCGAATCGATCTTCCCATTACAACAGAAGCTCGTAACCTTAGCAACACAACTTTTGTTTCTCCTATTCGAAAAAATCTTGGAAAAAAATAATGACAATAATATGTTATAAATCTTTAAACCCACGTATTGTTTTTTTATTGTAAGGGCTAGAGCTTTATTTTTTTTTATTCTATGTAAATACTTTTCGATGAAATATTATGGTAGATAGGGAAATGTATATATAACTAAATATATTATAAAACTGCAGCCAATAAATTTTATTATAAAAATGTACCATTAATAGACGATTTTAATATACTATGTGATGAATAACTTTTCTATTTCCTAAAATAACTTTTTTGTTTCTTGTAAAAATTTTGATAAATTCAATAAAAGTCAAAACAAAAACATTTTTTGGGGCGACTCATAGTTTCCTAAAAAAGACTCAAAATTTCCTAAAAAAAGTTTGTCATCATAATTGCGCAATATCACTACAAAAGAAAACATTGAAGACGTAAGAAACGGTCTGGATGAAATCTATGCTGGACATTTGTTTGCGATGCCTGTGGTTAAAAAAAAAAGGTTTAAATAAATTGTTGAAATTACAGTTATTCAAAGTAAAGTTGAGCAGGTGTTCAAAAGTCATGGAAAAATGTTCACTAACAAGTATGCAATTTTTTGCGGACTATAATAAAGAAATAAAAAACTTTTTTTTTTTAAGGTTATTTTTTTACCTCGCGCTAAATTCATCAAATTTCCAGAAAAAACTTTTTTTTTTAGTTGCACAATATACCAGGAAGAAAAAACAACAACAGAATACTATTTTAGTTCTCATTAGCAACCTCGCCGTCACCAAACAGTTGTTCTACAGTATCAACATCAGGAAACAAATCAGTCCTGCTACCTGATTTAGTGTCCATTTCACAGGAACTGAATACATTTACATCTTCTATGTCAGGAAACTTTTTCAAAAGCTGAGCTGGAGTTTTCTGCTCAGCTGATTTGCTATAGGCAGCTTTGGTCTTTGAGGATAGCACGGTCCAGTTGTTTTTGAAATTGAGCAGTTTTGCAGCTTACGCTCAAACTTAACTTGACACACTGTTTTCTATTAAACCAGCTTTACGGTCCTCTTGCTACATTCATTGACGAAAGCCAAGTTTTGAAATTTAGGTACTGTAATTTAATGTTTTAATTATAAGTTAAAACAAAATTACAAAAAACGCAAATATCTTTTTAAATTGCATTTCTCAACAAAAAAAAGTTTATATTCATTATAATTATTTTTATTATTATTATTTTAATTTATTTGCATTTAAATAAAAATACAAAAATGTGATACAGGTAATTGGAGAATTACTCTTATGTAACGCCAAGTTTAAAACAGTAAACATTGTCTCTCAATATTGTAAGTTTTTAAATTCGATTTAAATAGAGACAATGAAGAGGAATACACCATAAAATCAGTAAAAAATTCCATATCTTAGGAACTCTTTCACTGAAAAAAAATTTCCTTATATCATTGATGTAGTTGTTACGTGATGTTAATTTTTGGCAATGACATCTAGTTGAATAATGAGTAGGAGTGAGAGTAAAAAACTCAGAAAAAGGCAAATTAATCAAGTTGTGGATAATCTTATAAGTCATTAAAAGATCAAATTTTATTCTCCGGCATTCAAGAGAGTCAAAATTGAAGATATCAAGTCTTGAAGAATAATCTTTATATGGAATACAACACCGTTTGCAGACAATTCTTGTATAATGTTTCTGGACCTTTTCTACCCGACGTATATCTTTTATATATATATATATATATATATATATATATATATATATATATATATATATATATATATATATATATATATATATATATATATATTATATATATATACTCTTATATATACTTTTGCATGGTAGTCAAAAAGAGTTTCCCATAAACTGTAGTTTTAAAGAGCGCGTTAATAAACCAGATCAGAAAAAGTTTAAAAACTTAAATTTTTTTTTTTTAAATGATAGACTGTCTGCCCAAACCAAACCCTCAGTCGATGTAGCAGCACTCCCTTGCGAGTCAGGCTATTTGTCAGTCGTTGTAGCAGCACTCCCTTGCGAGTCAGGCTATTTGTCAGTCGTTGTAGCAGCACTCCCTTGCGAGTCAGGCTATTTGTCAGTCGATGTAGCAGCACTCCCTTGCGAGTCAGGTTATAAGATAGTCGATGTAGAAACACTCCCTTGTAGCAGCAGGCTATAAGATAGTCGATGTAGCAACATTTACACATGTTTTAAAAATGTTTTTTAATAAAACAAAAACAAAAACAACACTAATTTAAAAAAACTTTCTAGTCGTTATTATTGCGGTTTTTTAAAATTTTTTTAAAAAACAATAAAATTTAATGTACTTCCGCATTAATTTAATTGCTTTGACATTTCAACGACAATCAAATACGGCTTTCCACGTAGCGAATTTTTTCGCGCGAAGCGAACTTTTTCGTCACTAATTTTTCGCAGAATCAGAATTTTAATTTCCACGTAACTTTAGCGTAACCTTTAGCGCGCTTTTTGGAAAACATGTTGATTAAAAGAAGATTGTTGTTAGTTCGAAGAAAATTAATTATTTTAAAAATGTTGCAAATGATACAAGAAAAAGAAAAGAAGAAAAAACGATTTTGGGTAAGGAAAATTCATACCGAACGCCTTCAGAAAGGAGAGTTTCATTTATTAGTCCAGGATTTACGTTTACACGACCAGGAATACTTTTTTAAGTATTTTTGTATGTCTCCAACAACTTACGAAGAGTTGCTTTCGTTTGTAGCGCCTATCATTGTAAAACAAAGAACTACCATGAGAGACCCTGTGAGTCCGAGTGAAAGGCTGGCCGTAACACTTAGATTTCTTGTAACAGGAGATGCTCAGTGTACTATTGCTGCAAGTTACAGTAATCAGCGCATCTACTATCAGTAGGATTATTAGTGAGACATGCGCTGTTATCTGGACATCATTGAAAGAAAGAAATTTTCTACACGTCCCATCAGAAAAACAAGAATGGAAAACAATTGCAAAAGAATTTGAAAACATGTGGAATTTTCCGCATGCTATAGGTGCAATAGATGGCAAGCACATCGTTATGCAAGCTCCTCATAATGGCGGATCAGAGTATTTTAACTATAAGAAAACGCATAGCATAGTTCTTCTAGCTGTTTGTAATGCTAAATACGAATTTACTATGGTAGACATTGGTGACTCGGGAAGACAGAGTGATGGTAGCGTTTTTAACAACTGCAGTCTTGGTTATGCAATTGAAAATAATAAATTGAATATTCCTGATCCCGAATATATTGGTAATTCAGAAAAGGTATTACCGTACGTTTTAGTTGCTGACAATGCTTTTGGTTTAAAAAGACACATGATGAAACCATACCCTAATCAAAACATTCCTTTAGATCAAAAAATATTCAACTACAGACTTTCAAGAGCCAGAAGGGTAATAAAAAATACATTTGGTATTGCTACAACACGCTTTCGAATATTTCGCAGACCAATTATTGCTAATCTTGAAAAAGTCATTTTAATTACACAAGCGATTGTAGCCCTACATAACTTTCTTATGAAAAAAAGATCAGCAAACAATTATGTCTACTGTCCCACAAATTACACCGATATCGACGGTCCTGCTGGATTTAGACCAGGTGATTGGAGACAAGATAATTCATGTTCTGCTGCACTACAACCAATGTCACAATCAGGTTCTAACAACTACTCAAAAGATGCAAAGCAAGTTAGAGATGACTTTAAAGAATACTTTAATACACCAGAAGGAGAACTGGAATGGCAACTAGACTTGGTAAATAGAAACTTGTAATGGTGAACGTATAAGTCACTATTTAAACCATGTAGTTTAAGGGTAAATGCTAATAACTATTACTCAAAAAATTGACATTTTTCTGGTATTTCTTTAAGAACAAAGTAAATTATGTTAACAATTGATATAGTAAAATTGCATGACTTTTACCAGGTAGAGCACATATACTTTTAATAATATAATAATAATTTTATTACAACAATACTTGAAATCTTGAACTTCAAAATAATAATTTTTATGTTGATCTAAAGATTGCTTTTTACATATAAACATTTCATAGAAAAGTTAAAATTAAAAGTTTTTAAACTTAATAAATAATTACACCAATGCCAAAAAAACCTGATAATGGAAAAAAAGTCAAAAGTAAGAAGTACATTAAAGATGTTCTTAAAAATAAAAATACATCGATAAAAGAAATAAAATATAACAGAAAATTATTATATATATATATATATTTTATAATTATAATTATATATAATTTACTCTAAATCTCTTCATTCTCACCATATTTCATGTTGAAAAGAAGTGTTTTTTTATCATAGCCCGTCTATTTTCTTTTATTGGAAGTTCTTTCATAATAGGAATAAGGCTTCTACAAAATAGGGTAGTTTCATATTCCTCAACATCTTCCACTGACTTTTTTAATATCTTGTCACACTCTACTAATGATTGTGACAATTGTGACAATGACTCATCATTTTGATTTTTGATTCGTGCCTTCTTTTGAATGGGTGATCTGGTATGGCTTAATCTTTTTCGATTTTCAGTTAGAATTAATTCACTGCTAAAACTACTGGTACTTGGACTTGATTGTGTAAAACTACATTGTGAGTGAAACGATGATGGTGAAGCAACATCTGGGACAATATCAACATTAGATTCTGTTGGTTTGTTTGCACTTTTTTCATGCAAAAATGTCATTTGATCAAAAAACTTACATTTTGGTAAGTTTGAGGCTGCTGCTCCTGATCTGGTCATACGGTTACGTTTATCTAAACATTTTTTTAGTGTATCTTTTAGATTTTTTAACTTTTTCTGAAGGAAGTCCTCTTCTTTACAAAATTTTAATGCAAATTTTTTCCAAGCGTTTACTTTAACCAATCTGTATTTGTATGTGGGGTGATTCACATCCCACAAGCTTGGAAGCTCACGAACAGCTTCTATAAAACGATCTATATCGAATTCAGTAGGAATAAAATTATCGTTTTCATTCTCTTCGTTTTCGTCTATTTCATTAACTACTTCTTCATTCGTGATTGCAACTTGATTTTGAGAAGCATTTATTAAAGCTTCCAATAAATCTACGCTAACATTTCTTTCTTTAAACCACTCAATAAACGTGTTACTATTGTCGGCCATTAAAATTTTGTTGTGTTTTTTTTTTTCTACATGCTGAATTTTTATATTTGCTTAACTTGCATATTTCAAAAGTTCTGATTGGCTCTTCCTTCAAGCGAAAAAATGCACTACCGAAAAAGTTGAAGT